CACCACTGAAGAAGAGGTAACCTGGCAGAGGTCCGTGCTTCTCGCTGACAGAAAATGCATCTGGTCCAAATTAACATGCGGTCTGCAAACGACACGACATCTTTTTCAAAGCACGTTGTGTGTTTATTTTGCACAACTTCAACTACAATCTCTGAACAGCCTTCAATGCTATGGTCACCAATAATACCAACAACTAAGGATATTCGTAACACTCCTACAGCCGATTACGGTGATAAGCCGCTGGGTGAATACTCCATGAACAGAATTTCTTTAGAAATTATCATAATGTATGAATTTGAAGTCAAACTGACTAGTAACTAGATAACAGCAATGCCAAGGCGTAGCAAACCTCATCGAACATGAAATGGCGACCTTAGATGTACAGCAAAAATATATCAAACAAAAAAGATATCTTCAACCAACTCGCTTCATTAGTTTTTCATGGTTATAGCAAAAAGGTATATATCACGTGTAAAATGGCCACGATTTTTCGAAATGGCCGCCTACTAGCCGAGGTGTCGTAAGACAGAGTGCCATGCTTCCGAGTATTCAATAATATTGTTTTGTATCTGAAATATTGCAAAATCGACAGTAAAATGTCAACCATTTTGAAATCGGCGGCCATTTTCAAATTTAACTTACATAGGGCATATATGCGTATAAACTATAAACGGCATATTGGATCAATGGTATCTTAATTATTGCCCGGACAGAAGGACGGTGTTCTCTATTCCCCCAACTTCGTTAGATGGGATAAGTATCAGGTATACATTTGAAGTCAATTAAACTTTCATTGGTAATTATCATTCATGTATGAATTTTAAGTCAAACTGAACATAAACTTCTTTAGTAATTATTATGTGTAATGAATTGTAGAAGTATTTTAATTTTCAGATTCTGTTGCCAAGGTAGGCTAACGATTGTATCATTCAAAATGTTGAAGAATACATCATATCGTAAATGTGACAATTATAACAGAAACCCAACGTCGGGCCAACACTACGCACAAAAAGGTTAGAGACTGTATATGTCCTAACTTTTTAGTAGTCAAATAACAGAAATCCTATTCCACTCAATGGGCAATGTCAACTGATTTTTGGATATCCATGAAAAAACTGTCCTTTTAACATTCACTGGCATGTAGCGGCCCTGATATCGATAAATTCTACACGCAATATAACCCGATTTTAGATGCTTGGTTAAAACTTTACACGAAAAAGCCTCGATATCCGGGCATTTACTCTTACACTGAACTGAAAATAGCATCGTCTAAACGTGTATGTCTTGGCTTCCGGGTAAGTTTATCAACATTTATACTCAATTGAAAGAGCAGTCGTGCTTATATCGTGTACCAGTTTGATTGTTTTATATGTGTGTGTATTTATAATATGATAGCCTAGTAATACCGTGTCGTTAGAACAAGTGCTAGATATCGAACTGATGACCTGAAATTAGATTATTGGACTGATCGCGCATCTGATATTAGATGATTAATTTGCATTGAATCTGATATTAGCTTGCAACCCAATACCACAGTAAATACCATGACTTTACATTGGAATGATAACACGGCCTCATATTCTAATTTATTATACGTCCATTGCAGGCCAAAAATGTTTCAATGTGGATATTGTAATGCACACGAGAATACATTCGATTCGTATATATTGATCATACATCAATTGAACATGGAGATTTTCCTGTACACTTTTCCCAAATATGTGGAATAGACTAGATGCGAGTAGAAATTATCTTGATTTATCCTATGCCAAGTAGGGTTTTAGGGAGATAAGTTGGTAAGATATATCCCGTATCCTGATTTTGAGGTTTCCATATCAAGAACCTCCATATCTCCCGTCATATCTCCCGCTTCGGTGCATATCTTCCCGCTTCGGGGCGTATCTTCCCGCTTCCAAAAAAAGTGGAAATGCAATAAAATGACTTTGCATATGAATGATTTGTTTATTTTTTACACCTTGTACTACTGAAAACTCTACTTGGTATAGGATAAAGCAGTTATGTACGGTCGGTTTGGATATTGGGTTCATCCCTCGTGAGATATGCACATCTACTTTCTGTCCCTACGGTCCCTCAGGTAGATATGCATATCTCCCTCTGGAAAAACCCCATATCCAAAACCCCCCAGTACATAACCCTTATTTATCCCATGGTTACAAGGATATAGATCGAATATCACGTGAAGATATAATTGATACGTGGATGAAGATCATATTTTAGCAAACAATTCCCAAATCATCGAATATCACTTTTGAAACCATCGAATGTCACTTTTTGAAAGGTGATATTCGATGGTTTCAAAAGTGATATTCGATGATTTCAAAAGTGATATTCGATGGTTTTGATTTTTTCAATTTTTTTTATTAATTCAGCAAAACGATTGTTTATATATTTATTATATATTTTTATTTTTTGGGATCTTGTTTTTACGGCGTTCGCATTAAATACAAACCACTCTGTTACGTCACGTATATGACGTTCGTTGAATTATCGCAATCAAAATGTCAGACCAAATGGAATTTCCATTGCAATTTATCTGACTATTCAATGTTCGCTGGATAATAATTCCCAATGGGATAAACGGGCAATCCTATGTTTTTTCAAAAATATCACTTATATCCACTCATGGATATCAGTATCTTCACTCATTCGCTGCGCTCACTGGCGAAGATATCAATATCCACTCATGGATATAAGTGATATTTTTTCAGAGCCATAGGATATTCCTATATTATTCCATATTTAGCATGATATCCATAGGATAACATGTCAAAATAAAAACGGTATTTTTGAAATCAGTGGTAAAATATGATATTTTTGGCAAATTTTCACTTAACCATAGCATACGGTGTTTTAGGGGGGGGGGGGGCTTTTAGCCATGACATACGGCGCCGTATGCCATGGTTTATGGATTTTTGCTACTTCAGACTCAAAACGAGGCTAAGTTTCAATATCGCCGTATCGTTTGGAAAATTCGTTTTAAATCACTTAATTCCCGACGATTCTGATGATGAATTTAACTATGGAATATAAAGAACATCCTATGATTTACTCGTGATATGATTTTAATCCACTTATGGATGCTGATATCTGCACTCTCTCGCTACGCTCACTCGTGCAGATATCATATCCATTCGTGGATAAAAATCATATCACTCATAAATCATAGGATATCCTCTATTTAAGATGTGATATTCGATAGTTTAAAAGTGATATTCGATGGTTTGTAAATTGTTTGCTAAAATATGATATCTTGATCCACATATCAAATATATCATCATGTGATATTCGATCTATATCCTCCTTGCAACCATGGGATAAAGCTTTACGTCCCGCTCCAAGCGGGCAGATATAGTATATCTGCCCGCTACGTCATAATCGCCGCCTGCATGTTTGTTCATAATTTGTAACGTTCGCGGAATGACTGTAAACAGCAATGGAGAAAACACAGACAATCAGGGTCTGTTTGATAGTTAAAAAGGGGGAAAGAGCATCCACTTAATCAATAAAAAATTCGAGAAAATAAATATGGGAATATTTGAGAGAACATGAAAATCCGCCCACGGCCAAGAAAACAAAACTGGACATGAATATTCTAAAATGTTTCCACGATTTAACAATGTGAACCAGATGACCAAGATTGGTATGGGATAAACATATTATCCTATAGTCGCGGTTCAGGATATTGGGATTATCCCTTGGCCAATATATAGGGGTTATGCAATTGGAGGTTTTGGATACAGGGAATATCCCGAGGGATATACAATATATCTTCCCGAGGGACCGAAGGGACCAAGGGAAGATGAATTATATATCCCTCGGGATATTCCCTGTATCCAAAACCTCCAAGTGCATAACTGTTGTATATAGTTTAGCATGATATGTACTTCTTTCTGTAACTGGAATACGATCCTAATATACAAGCAGCACATACGTATTCCCGGGGAACCATAAATATTTTGTGTAGGGTGTGGACATTTTTCTTTTCATTTCTCTAAAATCAGATTATTCTCATAAAATTCATACAAAGTTGGGCCTAAGCCTCTATTTTCGTATTCTGCATGTTAAGATATTTATAATGTAAAACCTAAGAGATAAATTCAATGTCTTCAGTTGAGAATAAGTATAAGGTAAATGTGTGAATTCTGCTTGTTGTTGCACTATTTTTATAATAAACAAGGTTCGATACGCAACACTGAATAGACTGCAGTCATAGCTTAGTTGTAAAGAAAACAAAAGAAGTTGGGACGTGGTCATGCTTGAATACGATTTTAAATATATCGCCCTTTACATTTGTTGAAATCGGCCTGTATTAATTTCAACAGGTGATCGGTGTACAAGGGCATATATTTGAGTTATTGGTTTAACGATAAGTATGACCTATGAGTGGGTAATGTTTTACAAATGCATGAAAGAAATATTCCAATGGCCTAATCTCAATTTTCCTGCATAAACTATTACATTGAAATGATAGTCATTTGCTCTCTAACTTCCGCACCGCATACGTAACTTCGTAACAATTCAATAAGCCAAGACAGGACCGCTATAATCGCTACATGCCAGTGAACATTGTCATAGCTAAGAAATCGTAGCCTTGCCCAAGTACTCGATCTCTTTTGCTTATCTTCATTTCTATTATGACCGCAGATAAGTAAATCGGAGTGGCAAATTTTCCTTTTGAACCAGGCTCATCATTATACTACCGCCATCTTTTTAAGATATATAAAGCAATATCTGCGATGAAATATCAATAACACAACTAAGAGCATAGTACAACTTCAAATCGAGTTTTATTATTCCAACATACTAGGATTTCTCCTTTCAGTTATTCTCTAGCCATACATGGTTTCCGGAAAACAACGTCATACATTCTGTTGAATAAGAAATCTCTCACTAAGGTTGAAAATACATTATACGACATGTACATAGGTTCTAGTCAGTTAAAATATTGATCAATAAAGTCATTGAACAATCAATTGCACTGATCACTGATCATTAAGTTACTGACCATTCAAGTTACTAACTTCACATTAAAGGCTTTTGATACAAAATAATACACCAAGACATGATTGTGTAAATTCACAAGAAGCAAATACAGCTGAACGCAATGTCATTCAAGACAAGATATAAACTAGCTATGCATTAAGAATTAATTGCTATAAATATAATGCTTTGATCAAATGGCTTCTGTATAAAATTAATAAAAATATAGAATAATCTATGATCCAATCATCGAACTATTACTTACTACTATAGGAAACACATATCAAACAGAGTGTTTATGACTATGTTCGGAATATAACGGTATTAATATGAAAATATAATAAATATGAGCCAATAATTATTTTGCATTTAGAAATATTTTGAGAATGCCCCGATCCACCTCAAAAGCATATTACTAGAAATAGTTCATTGTCCATTGTTACTGTCTTTCTGATTCTACTCAAGTTTGCATGCAGTGTCATCACAAACCATTGTAGGTGCTGCTTGTTCTACTGGTGGTTCCCCCTCAATCCCAAGTGCCATTAGAACATCAGCCAAAGAAACTTGGTCTGTTGCGGTCTTCTGCTTGAAATCCAGTAGAACATCCCCGCCTGTCAAGGAAGAATGGGAAATTTGTCAGGTCAAAACATTGCTTTATGTCAATACCTTTGAAGCCAGGCCGGTAGCCAGGATTTGCCAAGTGGGGTTCAGTTTTCATTAATTTCCAGGGGGGTTCACATTTGACAGTTTTGGCCCAAATATGGCTAAAATCACTTGAGAAGTGTTCAAAATGGTGAAAAACTGCATGATTTTGAAAGAATTTTCGGCCAGGGGGGGGTTCCAAACCCTTCGAACCCCCTGGCTATGGGCCTGGAAGCAATCGTTAAGGGGGAAAAGAAAACTTTATACTGTGACAGTCTACAGTCTGGGTCTGTTGTATTCCTTTGGTTTATACTCAATAAATAAAGGGTTTTGTTTTAGAAGAGTCAGTGGAGACGCAAACAAACCAAACTTTAATTATGTTTTTGACATATGTTGATTCATTGATCTGACCTCTGACCACACCAATTTATTTTATTTTTGGGGTAACACATCAAAACAAAACAACATAAATTCCTTTCAAGCAATACTTCCAGACAGATAGGGTATCACATTATGCAATAGAATCAACATGTTATCAATTAACAGAATCAACACATTTTGCGCAAGTAATTTCTCAATAGTGATGACATTTTGAATTACAAAGGCTTTGCATCAATCCATTTACATTTTTCTATTGTTTAGTTATTACTATATTATTTCAACATATACCGTAATATACAATAGAGAAATAATAGCAGATGGTCATGGCACATAAAAAAATTGGCTCTCATTTGAAGGATATTCTTATGTCTCTATATAAGTATATTTGTTATTGCATTATATACCTGCTTTCACAACCAAAGCTCCTCCATTCTGGTAGCTATCTCCTTTGAAATTTCCAGTCACCTTTTCTTTATTTGCCTAAAAGATTGTAGAAATACAATGAACACAATGCAAAATAATATACAATATGTAAATATTTTATAATGTGCATGTGTTATGTATACAAATACAAGATATGAATATCTCAAAATTCCACACAACTATTTTTGTATTATATAATTACTGTATATCATTTAGTGCAGTCAGAATGTGGGTTTCGGCGTGCGTTCAGAGGGATTTTATGGGGCATAATTTTTCATGTTACTACTATGATTATACATATTTGTATGGATTATTAGATCTTAGTTTTTCAGCTTTTAGATTTTGTGGCCATTTTACCCCCCATGGGCTAAAATTTGGACCCCTACTATATAATTGGGCAAGAACTTAAAAAATACTCAGTGGAATGTTTCCAAATTACTAAGTTGCATTGGTATAGGCTAATTGAATATATGATAAAAATTTCATGTCACATGGTTAACTGGTTGCCATGGAAATGGATAAAACATGCCCGTCGGGTGTCAATTTTCAGGCCAATTTTTCAGGACTGACAGAGTCATTTCATGCATATTTTGTCACCAATGTGTTAGGAAGGGTTAAAATGTCAATAGAAAACTTCTATAATATATAAGCAACAATTGTATGTAAAGATCAGTCCACAAAACCTCAGATTTTGGCCTTGTATTGGTCCATGACTTATACAGGGGTCTATTTCATAGACTCGAGCTCCCACATTGGATGGATGGTATAACTTTTGAAATAAGGGAGATACAGGTCTCATTTTTTCAGATCTTCATAAATGGTTAGTGTTAAGTATTTTATTTTACTTTGGGAGCTGACATGTGATTGGTTGCCATGGTAACCAGGGTTTTAGGGAAATTCCGACCCCCACATTGGATGGATGCTATAACTTTTGAAATAAGGGAGATACAGGTCTCATTTCTTCAGATCTTCATAAATGGTTGGTTTTCAGTATTTTAATATACATTTGGAGCTTGTATATGATTGGTTGCCATGGTAACCAGGGTTTTAAGGAAATCCTGACCCCAACATTGGATGGATGTTATAACTTTTGAAATAAGGGAGATTCATGTCTCATTTTTTCAGATTTTTGACAATGATTGATTTAAAGTATTGATTTAGACTTTGGGAGCTGAAATTTGATTGGTTACCATGGAAATCAGGGTTTTGTTGAAATTCAGACCTCCACAACTGATGAACACTATAACTCTTAAATACAGCCAGATAAGATAATCTTTTCAGATGTAAGATAATAATAATATGTGTGTATTGTATTAGACTTTGGAAGCTAGGATTTATTTGTCTGCCATGGTAACCATGTTTCATTGTCATGGTAACTGCTGTTTTCGTTTTCAGATTCACCTTTATTCTAGATAGGTCAATACATGACATAAAATACCAAATTGCTCAAAGTTACCATTTTATTCTTAATTTTGTTTTTTTTCTATTTTATATGATTTACATGCTCATGACTCAATAATACTAGAGATGCAAACATTGTTTGGCTCATAAAATATCAAATACTAGAATAGTAAACAATACATGTATGTCTGACAATATTGCCTTATTCCATATGACTAGTTCTTACAAAAGTTCTGACTCCTAATTTGTTCATTTGAACTCATCATTACTGTTTTCATTTAGCACAATTTCCTCTTTAACATCAATTTCTGTTGGAATGAAGGATTGTTTTGACCATTCTGGAGATAAGGATCCTCAGGGGATATAGTCCATTCATGCAGTATTGGACTTGGCAGAATGGGTTAAGACTGGTCCCTGTGGTTTCACTGTATATAAAATTGGCTGGGGTCCAAGGCTGAACCCTCAGATATCAATATGTTCCCATCCAATCTGTCAAATTTGAATGTGTTCTGATATCAACCAAAATAATGCCCAAAAGCCATACCAAATGCCCAAATATATGACCAGTGCCATACCAAATATCCAGATATGAAAACATGGCCATTCAAAATTTCTAATGCCTCGAGAAGAAGACATGTCATTGAGGAAAACAACCAAAAACAACCTCACATTAAGGATATACTAGATCAATGCCATACATGTGCAACAAGTGAGGGGCAACATATTTTTCACAACCATTCCCAAATCCGACCATTGCTATACCTCTCAAGTCATAATTTGGAGAGCATTCTCATACCAGATCCTAAAATTTGGGTCCATTGCCATATCAAATGTCAAAAGTAACCCACCTGAGCTGAGGATCCCCTCAAGGTTTATATACAGTGAACTTCTGGGAAACGGGGGGTAATGTTTCCACTTCCAAATATAAGTTTTATCATCCATCCTCTTCAAATGTTACAATGAGCAATCATTACAAGATGGAAGAGTTCATCATTTAATTCATTGCATTATATTAGCTGCTATAAAAGCAGTCAAGGACCAATCTTGAAAGATGGGAAGAGTTGAAATGTCAACACCTCCATAAGTGAGGGCAGGACTGTTCTGTTTTGGAGAATATCTTATGTGAAACAGCTCATATTGTTATCTATTGATGTAAGTTACAAATATATTTTTGTTAATCTGCTGTACTTTTACTGGTGAACAATTCAACTTTGGATTTTATTGTGTCAGGAATTTCTATATTGATTCCTATTATGAAGAAAATAACCTTAAGAACCTCAACTGATATGAACTCTGTCCCATTAGATGTCAGAAGCTCAACCCAACCCCTGTAGCTGCAAACCTAGGACCAAGTCCTGTGTGAAGCTATATTAGCCTTCAATGCGTTTACTGGATCAGATTCCTCCAGTGCAGAAATACAACAAAACAGCAGAAATAGAAAAATAACTGCCACTAATAGATTACGAGATGAGCTGTTTCCCATGAGATACAGAAAAAACAGAACAGTGCTGCCCTCACTTATGACGGTGTTGACATTTTCTTTCACGTTTGAAGAGGGTAAATTATCCAACCTATGTATGGACACATTCCCACCAGCCTAAACCCAGCTCTACCATTATGCCCAACACTGCATGAATGAACTGTGAATTCCCTGACGAATCTTTAACACAAGAATGGTCAAAAGAATCCTTCTTTCCAATAGAAATTGTTGATATTTTTAATTAAGAGGCAATTGTGGAAGATGAAAACGATAATGATGAGTAAAAACAAGTTGGGAGTCTGAATATGTGTGAGAACTAGTAGAATGGAATGAGGCTATACTGTCAGACATACAGGATAAATTGCTGAAATAAAGAGCAAAATGATAATTTTGAGCATTTTGGTATAACATGTTGTGAATTGACCATTCTCAAATGAAGGTAAGACTGAAATAAAAAATTAGGGGTACCATGACGACGAAACATGGTTACCATGGCAATCAAGTAAATGCTAAGCTACAAAGTCTAATTCAATACACAAATCTAATTAATTTTTTAGATCTGAAATGATGATATCTGTATCTGCTTGAATTCAAACATTAAAGCATTTATCAATTGAGGAGGTCCAAATTTCAATAAAACTCTAGTTACCATGGTAACCAATCAAATTTCAGCCCCCAAAGTCTAATTTAATATTTATAATCAATCATTGTCTAAGATCTGAAATAATGAGACATGTATCTCCCTTATTTCAAAAGTTATAGCATCCATCCAATGTGGGGGTCGGAATTTCCCTAAAACCCTGGTTACCATGGCAACCAATCACATGTCAGCTCCCAAAGTAAAATAGAATACTTAAAACTAACCATTTAAGAAGATCTGAAAAAATGAGACCTGTATCTCCATTATTTCAAAAGTTATAGCATCCATCCAATGTGGGAGCTCGAGTCTATGAAATAGACCCCTGTATAAGTCATGGACCAATACAAGGCCAAAATCTGAGGTTTTGTGGACTGATCTTTACATACAATTGTTGCTTATATATTATAGAAGTTTTCTATTGACATTTTAACCCTTCCTAGCACATTGGTGACAAAATATGCATGAAATGACTCTGTCAGTCCTGAAAAATTGGCCTGAAAATTGACACCCGAAGGGCATGTTTTATCCATTTCCATGGCAACCAGTTAACCATGTGACATGAAATTTTTATCATATATTCAATTAGCCTATACCAATATAACTTAGTAATTTGGAAACATTCCACTGAGGATTTTTTGAGTTCTTGCCCAATTATATAGTAGGGGTCCAAATTTTAGCCCATGGGGGGTAAAATGGCCACAAAATCTAAAAGCTGAAAAACTAAGATCTAATAATCCATACAAATATGTATAATCATAGTAGTAACATGAAAAATTATGTCCCATAAAATCCCTCTGAACGCACGCCGAAACCCACATTCTGACTGCACTAATTATTCCATAAAATTATACAACATTTATATGCATGTGGTTAATATCTCAACTATACCTCTGATAATTGAGTACGTCCTTGTTTTCCGAAGACTGCTCCTATACTGCTTAGCAGCCCAGGACTGAAGAAGATTATTTTTATTTATACTAAATTTAATTTAAATTTTAAAACTAAAAAATGTATTTCATCTAAATTATATATAATGTATGTCATAATAGGATTTTATTAGTACTGATGCCCTTTTAGGGCCAAACGTACATCCGATATACAATTTTCAGTAACAGTAAATATAGCAATAAAGTAAAGAAAATAGGATTACATTCTTCAAATGACATATAAAATGTTACTTTGATATAAGAATCCTGTCTCTACCAATCATTAGATACTTTATCATGTCAGCAGATTCTTTTAATATGATCCCCTCACTCGTCAATAGAAAAATTGTCTTTTGGTGGTCATTCATGTTTTTAAAATTACTACAAAGATTACTACAAACATTACACATTAATCACTTTAAAATGTTTCCATATGTAGAAAAGGTACAGAATATACTAGTAAATAAATTACTGAATAATTTACCTTGTAAATTGTAATTTTTTATAACACTCCTTGTTGTTGTCTATATACAGCTCTGGAACAGAAAATATCATCATTGAATATTGCAAAGGGAGGCAATGAAATGAAATGAATACAAACTATGGACCTTTTCTTCTTTTTTACTGGATGTCGATGTTGACTGTAATTTCCCAAATATTTCTTGCAAAGCAAACAAAGGTATTCTCATACCATGTGATATATGGTTACTGAACTATATCAATTAAACAGTGTATTTTGAATAGATTCTTTAGTAAAAGTTGATAATGTTTTCATGTTGCTTTACACTAAAATTTTAAAATAAAGCTCACCTCCTGCCCAGAATTCTCCCTTGACATACTCATCAAGTCCTACTTCCTCCAAGCCAATTGCAATCATACGTACCTTTAAGAAAAGTGAGAGATAAATAGTAATACAGCAATACAGTAACTCTTTTAAGTTCATACCATCTAATAGTAATCATTAATTGTTCTCCAGGCGACATACATGCAGATGAAGGAGACTGGCATTATTTTTAATAATCATATTTCACATCTATCATATACTGTAGAAAGATTGAATTTTTATAGCAGGTAAATCTTGTTGATTAGAACATATGCACTATGCGTGAACTTGAGATTGTTAACTTGCAAGAAAATTTGGATTTAGCATCTTGCAGCCTTGAAAGAAAGGGATAAGCTTGAAAAGATGATTGTTGACAAGGACCTACATTGTTTGCATCTAGCTGAGGTTTCAGAGCACTGATTCGTTTGGCAGAGAGCCGACATAACTGTCATCCAAACCTTCGAAGGAATGTGATGAAACAGTTTTGTTTCTCCCAAAGGCTTTCCATTGTTACACTCTGAAAGTAAAAACATGATGTTTAAAATACATGTTACAAGTACAGGACCTCAAGAATGCAAGAGAAGCACACTGTTTAAGATTATCCCAGGTAGGCCTCCAAAGGTGTTTATTTCATATCTATTCTAAATATGGGCCTTTATAGAACTAATTTCCAATGAAAATGTTGAAGAAGCTTTATGGATTACAAGGTGTCTAGAGAGTAAAGATACAAATACTCTTATTTCAAGAGATCTTTCAAATGAAATTGCTAGATATTGGAGAGGAAGATTATTACAATATATCGAGGGCAAAGGAGTGTAACATTGACGTTTGGGGCAAAGTCGACATAAGAGATGGGGTAACTTCGACACTTACTTATAAGAAGTAGAATTTCTGTTTTCCGCCATGTTTGATTTCTACATGTAGAAAAATTAAATTGTGATGTTGCTCCACATACCCTCGACTCCCGTTACCATGATAATGACCATAATTTCACAAATTTTGCAGTGCTTTCATTTGCAGTATTTTCTTGCCATAATAGCAAGATTGAGGTACGAAATATGTTTTCCCAAATCCTTTAGGGTGTTATCTCGCTGTATAACTGCCAAATCTCAAAAATCATGACAAAGATGTGTATTCATTTGAAAACATCAATATTTTTGAAGAAAAAGAGTCCGCACCACTAGTCCAGGATGAAAAATTAAATCACCCCATGTACAAAGAAAAAATTATTATCTTTTTTCTATGTAATACCATGGGCTTTCAATTAGATAGTTGAAAGCCCCCCGGGAAAGCCCATGGTATAGTGAGTGGGAGGGTAGTATGTATCCAACAGACCGAATATAATATTCGGTCTGTTATGATTGATATATTTCCTGTGGAAATCTCGGTGATATTTTTTGCACATAAATTTCTCGTTTATTACAAGAATGTTCACCTTGAAAATTGGTGAATATGTTGAAGAGATGTTCATCTTAAGGTTCAGCTGGAAAGTAACATTTTGGTAAAAATTTGCTATACCTGCCCATGTTATTTTCTGGTACAAAATTAAGTATGAAGGCATGTGTGTATTGCCTTGCTTTTTTCAGGAAAGTATCATTACACTGTCTTCTTTTAGAATATCTATAAACAGGCCAATGGTAGCTCCTGTGTTGTCTGGGAACTTTGAAAGAAAATATGGAAAAATAGAAAGTGTGAAATATCAGAATTTCCTGTAGTTCCCATTAAACGCCTACCAGATATTCTAAAAGAAGACAATGTAATGATACTTTCCTGAAAAAAGCAAGGAAATTGACACATGCCTTCATACTTTATTTTGTACCAGAAAATAACATGTAATTTTTTACCAAAATGTTACTTTCCAGCTGTACCTTAAACTAGAAGCAAAAATATTTGTATAAGGCGGGTACAAGTTGATATAAAATAATGAAATGTTCAGACTCACCAAAACTTCAGGATGTGTTTATAAGTACATCGCGAAATCAATGTCAAGCACGTTTGAGTTCACGAGATCCAAACGAGATATGCAAATTTTGAACTTTGACAACACATGACCACTTGATTACCTCGGCCTTCTTCATGAATATTTCCGCTCTATTTACTATAAATGAAGAAAATTAATCGGGATAATGATAATAAATGACTAGATTTAATAAATTCCCGCACAAATGGAATTTATCAACACGCTTCCGTCCGCTCCACGTGTTATTTGTTTACAAATAGACTGACGTCACTGGCTAAATCTCGTTTATCGTGAGAATTGGCATTGCCAAAATGGCTTGACCTAATCAATGGCTCCGCTACAAGAAGCGTCTGTACATTTTATGAATATCTTCAGTAAGAGGACAATATACGAAAAAATAATATTGTAAGTACTTTATAAGGTAATCATTTTATCATTTAACAAACTTATTTGTAACATTTATACAACACCACATTTTACAATAGGTGACTTACAGTCTGAATATTTATTCAGACGAAGGATACAGTCTAAGTGGGAGGGGGTGAACTCTTGTTCCCGTGTCTGTGGTCCGCAATTGTAGTTTTAATAATAATATGATAGAAATTCTGTTCATTGAGGTCTAACAGTAATAGTCTAATGGTAGACCAGCTGATTTACGGATCGGCAAATACTTTATTCGTGTACATCGGTCAGTCTGAATTCCCGGGGAATGAAAAACTGAAAACTTATGCAACAGAAATATTTTTGAAACTTAAAAATAAAACACTCACTTGACCTGTCGAGACTGACTTCACCATCACCTTTGCTATTTTAGAGATATCCATGGTGGTATTTGTTATTTATACCACCATGTACTAATCTAGCTTTGGTTTTAGCGAACAAATTGGAGACAAACGATAAACTTTTCGTCGTTCTTCTTCTTCAAGTGGTTGATCACAAATGACGCAGTTACCACATTCACGAAATTCTAGAGTTGGGCACCTGTCATTCTGCAACATATAGTATATTTCAGTTGTTCTAATTTTTCTTAGTCAGCATCTAAACTTTAGAGCCAATTACAAGCCCGGGATTACAAGTTACAATTTCCAATGTCATCTAGTTATCTGGGCCTTCCAGAAGACATAACACCATTTATCCTATGCCAAGTCGAGTTTTAGGGAGATAAGTTGGTAAGATATATCCTGTATCCTGATTTTGAGGTTTCCATATCCTGAACCTCCATATCTCCCGCCATATCTCCCGCTCCAGGCATATCTTCCCGCTTCGAAAAAAAAATTTAAAAATTGAAAAAAAGAAAAAATGTGAAAAAATTAAAAAATTGAAAAAAATAGAATTTTTTTTTAAAAATTAGAAAAATGTGAAAAAAATTGAAAAAATAAAAAAAAATTGAAAAAAAATCGAAAGAAAATTAGAAAACTTGGTATAGGATAAAGCAGTTATGTACGGTCGGTTTGGATATTGGGTTCTTCCCTCGTGAGATATGCACATCTACCTTCGGTCCCTACGGTCCCTCAGGTAGATATGCATATCTCCCTCTGGATAAACCCCATATCCAAAACCTCCCAGTACATAACCCTTATGTATCTGATACTTGAGTGGGTTTGGGGTAGATATCACCGGGGAATATATATCGTATCCGAGGAGCGGGCAGGATATATTGTATATGTCCCGCTCCAGGCCAAATGCGGGCAGATATAATATATCCAGTCCGCTCCCGGGAATTTTTTAAAAGTTTAAAAAAGTTTAAATATCAAAAGTTTTAATTTTTTAATTTTAAAATTTAATCTTTTTAAGTTTAAATGTTACAATTTCATTGTATTGAACAAAAGAATATTACGAAAATGTTAAATATAAATATCTTGTCATTTGAAAAAGGTGGAAAAGGTTATATCTACCCTTATCGAATTCTACGACCACTTTAGAATCTAAAGGGGTCGTAGGATGCGATAAATCTACCCTAAACCCACTCAAGTATGAGATACACCAGTTATCACGGTCGGTTTGGATACATGAAATATCGCTTGGGATATTCCCTGTATCCAAAACCTCCCAGTGCATAACCCCTATATATATATAAAGTCGAGAAACCCCATAATTGACACTACAGTACTTCATGAGCTGAGTTTGACCAGTGCGTCATTTAAAGCTTACCATCAAAACAATCATCAAAACCATGGGTTTTCAACTACGAATTGAACGCTCATGTTAAAACAGAATCGGCTTTTTTGTTTTCCCAAGAATAAACCATGGGCTTTCAAGATCTATCAGTGGAAGACCATGAAAAAAACATTCATCAAGACCATGACTACAAAATATAACCTATTAGTCCCTGATCTGGTCAGAAAAACCACTTTACAGATGCACTTCAAATGTTCACACATGTTACATGGTAAGAAGTCCTAGAGCTCATTAGTTTTCCAGTGGCCATTTTGCATTCTGGCGGCCATCTTGGAAGTTTTAATATAAATCTTGTCATCACGATTTCAGGAAAACCAAACGGATTTACTTCAAATTTTCACGCATGTTACATGGTAAGAAGTTCTAAGCTGAAAAACTTTTCAGCGCCCATCTTGCATTTTGTCGGCCATCTTGAAGGTTTTTAATAAATCTTGTCATCGCGATGCCAGGAAAACCACTGAACAGATTTACTTCATTCACACATGTTACATGGTAAGAAGTCCTAGAGCTCATTCATTTTCCGGTCGCCATCTTGCATTCTGGCGGCCATCTTGGAAGTTTTATGATAAATCTTGTCATCGCGATTTCAGGAAAACCATGACGAATTTACTTCAAATTTTCACACATGTTACATAGTAAGAAGTTCTAGAGCTGATTAACTTTTCGGCGGCCATCTTGCATTCTGGTGGCCATCTAGGAAATTTTTAGATAAATGGCAATTGTCATCGTGATTCCAGGAAAACAACTTCACAGATTTACTTCAAATTTTCACACATATGTTACATGGTAAGAAGTCCAAGAGTTCATTTGTTTTCCGGTGGCCATCTTGCATTATGGCGGCCATCTTGGAAGTTTTAAGATAAATCTTGTCATCGCGATTTCAGGAAAACCAAACGAATTTACTTCAAATTTTCACACATGTTACATGGTAAGAAGTTCTAGAGCTGATTAACTCTTTCGGCGGCCATCTTGCATTCTGGTGGCCATCTAGGAAGTTTTTAGATAAATCTTGTCATCGCGATTCCAGGAAAACAACTTAACCGATTTATTTCAAATTTGAACACATGTTAATAGATTGAAGTTCTATAGCTGATTAACTTTCCGGCAGCCATCTTACATTCTGGCGGCCATCTTGGAAGTTTTACATAAATCTTGTCATCGTGATTCCAGGAACTTTAACGGATTGTCTTCAAATTTTTACATGGTAAGATGTTCTTCAACTGATTAACTTTTCGGCGGCCATCTCGTTATTACAAGGTTTATCTTAAAACTTCCAAGATGGCCGCAAGAATGCAAGATGGCCACCGAAAAACTAATGAGGTCTAGGACTTTTTACCATATAACATGTGTGAAAATATGAAGTACATCTGTTAAGTGTTTTTTCTGGAATCGCGATGCCAAGATATATCTAAAAAATCCAACATGGCCGCCAGAATGCAAGATGGCCTCCAAAAAGTTAATCAGCTCTAGAACTTCTTACCGTGTAACATGTGTGAAAATTTGAAGTAAATCCATCTGGTGGTTTTCCTGGAATTGTGATGACAAAAAATGAGACTTCAGAATGCCACCTTGTCTAACCCCATTTTGGTGCCTTTTGCCCCTGTTTCTATCAATATAAGATGTGTTTTCTTTATGAGGGAAGCCTGTTTTTTCAAACGGTACAATCATTTCATGTAGGAAAGTACCGGACAAAAAAAACCTTTCCTAGAGGCCTTTTGGAAATCAGATCAGGGACTATGATCCCGGGTATTTGATATGAAGCAAAACAAAATTATATAATTTGTCTTCTGTCTAAGTGTACGAGGATCGTCCAATCAAAACTGAAACGAATGCTCTCATTCCAAAATCTATATTTAGGAATCAACATGACTTTTTGGAGGTTATATGTTAATTACTGGCCAACTTCAATGAATTTATTCTTGGTACAGAACATTTCAAATATCATGAAGGGGGAATACAAATGGGTTTACGAAAAACACCGACCGCCGACCACCGATCACCGACCAGTCACTCTCCACAGTTGGGTACATGTGGTCGGTGGTCGGCTGACGGTCTTTTACATAAAGATGAAAAAATGCAAAATTAGAAGTAAAACTAAAACTGGGAATCCTATGACTATAGTACCTTTACTAGGTCGTGATTTAAAAACGTATAATTAATCATTTCAAATCACGATGAAAACGTTACATCGTCGTGGTGTGTAATGTCATATTTTTAAGTGATGTTTCAGTTGTTAGAAGACCAATGAATTTCATCCTGGTTAGTCACTTTGGAAAAAAACGCATGTAACATTGCATTAAGTTCATTCATATGAAACGCAATAAATTAAACACACAAACATCGTCGATGGGTGTACTGAAATGGTAAGTCACTTTTAATCCCGATAAGAGAACGCATGTAACATTATATCGTGTTCAGTACTCAGTAAGCTATGACAATAACAAATCATTTTTGTTTCGAAATTGTTAAATTTCAGTAAAAAATTAGGATAGATTCCCGTAGAAACGATGGGTTGGTTAATGATAGGTTAGGACCTAAGGCAGGACAATTAATCGAGAGGAGACGGTCATGTCCAATTTGTTTGCTTGCCATTCGTTGCATTTTTTGACCTTGAAAAGGTCATTGAAGGTTAAATCTTAAATGTATTTAGTCAGATTTGAACTTTTGAAAACTTGTAGATGATTTTGAAAAAAATTGAAGTCAGTATTTGTTAAGTTATTGCAGAGACAAATAACACATTTTATATGTCTCTGGTTATTGGAAGTTGTAAGAATTTGTTACAGACGCCAACCGCCAACCACCAACCGCGGTCAAAAAAACGGAGACCACCCCAACCAAAAAAGTGGTGACATAAAAATGATTTAAAGGTATTTCATTTTATTCATTGTATCTCTTGATCATTGTTGCTATTTGTTAATCCATATCCCTTCTTTATGGATCTATCTTATCAATTATTTCACTGTTTTGATATTTCCAAACCTTTAGGTCATCTCTAATATAAGCTTTTCAGGCACCCACTACTGCAACACAAAATAGACAAATGGCCACTAAGTAGATTTGGACTGAACTGCTAGATAATTTTTAGCGATATCCTTTACTTTATATGTCACATTACTTTAAAACTAACATGAATAAATAATATGTGGCCCTATTGATCTTCAATCACTGATACTTTCTACAAGATTTCTTGATGGACATGAAAATGAGAACAATTGTATTAATATTTATTGAACAACCCTCACAACTGTCTCCATGACGTTTAACAAGAGTAATAGGATTGCAGCGCTAATATTATGTTCGAATGCTATCTTTGTAGTATATGCCTAGATAATGCCTTTTCTTAAACTCAAACATATTGTCTATATCACGCTCATATTTTATTGAACTTACACCGTATCATTCACATAATCACAATATTTACTGCAATCTTTTTATTTTACAAACCAAAAATTTGAAGCAAAACAGTTTTTGAACATGTTGTCTTATAAATCTTTAACATATATATAACCCATCAAAGTTTCAAGTTTAGAGAGAGAGAGAGAGATAACATTATCATCTTTGTATCCCGCTTTGTATACGCACGTATTTATCTCAAATCCTATTTGATGGCCAGTGTGAGGACAAGGGAAATCAAAGAAAGGTGATCAAGGTTAGTCTACTTTCTTTAATTCATCTGTGCAAAATAGAATTGCAAACGTAATAAATGCATTTTGTATTGTTTTTTTAACTTTTTACAATTGAATTTAATTGGACAATTATAATCCGTTTAATGTAAAATGTATAGCAATAGATAATGTTATTATGTAAACACCAATTACGACACATGCTTGTTGCAAGCTCAAAAGCAAAGGAAAGTGTGAATGACATAAACGGGTGATATTCTGCGTGATATAAATATGTTTAGTTTTATTAATACGTAGTTATTTAGTTACAAGACATCTATTTTGCAAATAGCCACTCCTTCCTGGATCGATAAACAGATGTAAACAAACACAACACAGTTATGAAATGAATTGTGGTCTTACAAACTTATTTAATTAACTGATGTTATTTTCGATTTTTGAACAAAATTCCATTTCTAATATAAAATCATAAGTTTTGTGAATATTTTTCAAAACGTATATGATTGTAATGTAATGATTTGGAGGATTTATTTCTCACTCATCTTCTAGGATACATAAACGTTTCCGATGCGAAAACTATGTCAGGAACAGTGAGTCTAAACCAAAATTGGACGTTGGCGCCAAAAGTCCGAGACCAAAACGGAAATGACGAGTTGAATGGTTTTACATCACCACTGCCCAGATCTGGTTCAATTATCGTTAGCCATCACTCGCCAGAGAAAATCAGTGCAATGAAAAAGGAGTGAGTAACCGTTTCATGAATTACTTATTTATTCTTCGTGTTTAACTACTTACAGAACTTTGAAATTCAAGCGTACCAATATCACACCGGAATAGCCTGACTACGGTAAAGTCAGATACCGTTGTCACAAATGGCGGACATAACCGTCGCTTCAACTGTTTAATCACTTGGTCCTCATTTCATAGGATTTCATCGTCGTTAATTCTGTGCATGCATTGAGCTCTTGTGATAATGTATCATATGAAATCCCATTTTCGATCAAATTGGGTCGTGAATCGCCACAATATAGCCTCTTCGATATCGTCAATGACAACGGAATCTGAATTTGAGTAATTTAGAAAGACAACGGCATATGGTAATTACAGTGTCCGTTGTCCCGTATCTCATTTTGATCGGGTTAAATTAAAGACTTTATTTCGATGGTAGAACATTATTAACTGTACAATGAGTATTATAACACTTTGATTGATTGTTGTTCCAAAGGAATTTAGTCTAGGTACTCTATTAAACATACAGTTCATGAAAATCTAATTGAAGCGACGGTTATGTCCGCAATTTGTGACAACGGTATCTGACTTTACCGTAGTCAGGCTAATCCGGGGTGAATATTATATACACATATTAGATGATATCATATCATTTGTACCAACAGATTAATCTGTGAAAAGCCACGTTTGTGAGGATGATACTTTAATAGTTCACGAACTATGAACTGAGTAAAATGTTCACGGTCATGTAGGCTCTATTGTTGTATACAAGAACATGGACAACCCCAAGTGATTTATCTATGACACATTCGAAGAGCAAAATTACATAAACATGAAACAACCAACGAGTAAAACAAATCAATGTCGATGCGAACAATATTATAATATAAATGACCATAATATTTACTAAAACCGTATTTGAATCTCTAGGCCTCAATCAAAATATATATGGTTAAGAATTTTTGTATTTCTCCTTGTAGAGGGAACAGAGACAACTTATACCACATCGCGGCATTCTACTGTCTCTTAATGGGGCTACTCGGGCTCGTCTTTCCCGTCACTGAGGCACTCACAAACAAATGGCTCAAGCTAGACTATGTTGGGGTAAGTCGCGCTATCAAAAATTGTAAGATTTCATCATGATAATTGTTAATTTTCGAAGGATTATCCTGATATAAAGTCACAATTGTCTGGCAAAAAGATTAAAGAACAAAATGTCCCTTTTTCTATACTAATGAATAATTGGTAACTAATAATCTTCGATACCTTCAATATTTGATCAGATATTTGAATTCGTTTTCAGAAAATGAAACAAGGATTGTAAAGATAACGCTGGTATACAGTTTTGAAAATATCATTTCCAACATTTTGCATTCTCTTTCTAATCCTTTGATTGTTTCCTGAATTAAGAGTTCGGAGAACTTAACGCCTCAACTTCAGCATATTATTGTTTGGTTTATTTTGTGTTGCTAAATCGCCATTTTCTAGTTGCCCTTTTAGGTTTCAAGTTTTTGCTTAATTTTTGGAAACTGTATCTTCACAGTCCTATTGAAAGTTATCATCTACTTCGAGTTCATTTGTTTGATATCATATGCTTTTTAGGGCTTCAACATTTACATGTCTGTGGTATCAATAATTGTGATGCTAATCATACAGTTCGTCCTTTTACGTGAAAAGAAAGTCAAGAAGAAAGAAGTAATAGCCACTAGAAGGGCCTCTAGACTCGGAAGCATAGAGTCTAGTTTCAAGGAGATAGATCCGAGTGATCTTGGTTCACAAATGACACTACATAGACACTCAATAACTACCACAGTATCTGAAGAAGAGATACCTTTCGAACAGAGTAAGCATGGAGCTGGATTCTACATACGAGTTGGCGCCATTGGTAAATAGTATTTTTCTAAATATGGTTGTAAAATATTGTTGGAACGTTTTCTTCTGAACTTTTTCGAGAAAGTTAATTACTCAAATTGAACCAGGACTAATCCGTGACATCATGGGGTCGGTTTTATCTCAGAACACATGGTGAATCATTAGTTGTATTTTCCTTAGGTTTTGGTCTTGGAAAGTTGTTGTTCAACGGCTTGAATCTGGCTAATCTAGCTGGACCTGAATGCAGAAACGTTGTTATGTCCGTAGATGTCGGATGTGGCCTTCTTTTCACATTCCTGCAAACTTTCTTCCTCTTCAAAAATTCAGGGGTAAGCACTACTTATGTACGATATAAAATATACCAAATCTGAACACATCCATTCACAATTTATAGTAGAAACTAGTTGTTGATGAGTTCTGGAAACAGAAGACAAACGATCGTTTTACTAGAAATCGATTTTTTATATCTCACACAAATGTTGTTAAACGTGATACTTGTACCTTTATTATACAGCTGTGCGTTTACAAGTACAGGAACATTGTTGCATTTGGACTTCTGCATGTTCTGGCCACTAACATGTGCGTTTGGGTCAGAGCTATTATTAGTGAAGCTCTTGAAACAATCGAGGAACACGGTCACATCTCTGATAATTCTTCATCTGGTACGTTAATTTCAACGTGTTGGTTATATCCGTGGATATACTTTGTTAAGTGCGGAACTTGTTGAATGATCAATCAAGATCAGTCTAAATAATTTGCCACCATATTACTTCCATTTTGCTCCTTAGTTGCTAATCCATCTTTCATTTTCAATTTAGGTCATTTATACAGCTCTCCTGAAGATTCTGTCATGTTTGTGGAAGCAGGTGGCGGTGGTCACAGCAGCGTCGTGACTGGATGTGACAGAGGAAAGTCCATCGTTGATAGTGTCGCTCCCTATCTCTTCCCTTTCATCATAGAATATAGCATCATCGCCGCAGCGTTGAGCTTCCGTATCTTTACAAATATTGGGCTGGCGGTTAAGCCATCTTCAGAATCAGATGGATCAGAAAGGAACCATGCAGATCATCATCCTGTAGAAAATTCAGTTGATTGTACCAAGGCTAATAAGGGAATATTTGCGGGGCTTATTATCTTCATCCTTGGTGTGGTTGGTTTGATTATGTACATGGTTCTGCTAAAGGAGGAGCAACAATATACGAACGCTATATACGCATATTATATTACCGAGATTGGGATGCTCGCGATACTACTCGTTGCTGTTATACTAGCCATCTACAAGTTGAAAGAACTTTATGTGATGGCATTACCAGATGACATCGAAAATGCCCTTCTTGTGATAGGACTTGTTGGTCTAGTTGCGAATGATCTTTTCGGATTGATGGCAGCAATAACTAGCTGGGATAAGGCTCCAGTGGCACACGGCCTCCATTTGGCTGAATCGCTATTATCTAGTATTCAAGCTCTAGCCCAAATAGTATTCATCACAGATGCTCTGAGAAGGAGATTAGGAACAAAATCTCACTTTTTAGACAAACCAGGTCGGGGCATCGTGACATTCCTAATCATCGGCAATGTAACTCTCTGGATAACTCAAAGTATCCAAGTTAAACAGGCAGGCGTCAATGAACCTGAGGCCGAGGTGTTTGGACACGTTGCATGGGCAATCTTGGACCATATCACCGATCCATTGCGCATTTTCTTCAGATTTCATTCTAGTGCTTGTTTGGCGGACATTTTCAGTCATACTTATAGTTTTCACCATGACCATTAAAATAGCAAACGGTTTGTGATTGATGTCATTGAAAGTTTGCAGAGACTGAAGTCAATATCAGAGGCATTTGATGAATTATAAATGCATTTCATTTGCTCTTAATGTTCGGAAGAGATAAGGATAGAAATGTAATATAAAATGAAACTCAATGATACTTAAAAGATTATAAGACCTTCGTTTGAGGACCAATATATTATATTATATAGCAACTTGAGAGGTAAACAATGCATCAAAGGAATTCAATGAGTTTATTAGAGGTTATATGATCAATGTGTTTGTATTCAAGTTTATCTCAGATTGAATATCAAATGTATTTCAAAATGAACAGAAACCTCATCACACGGAACACTACAATGATATACATTTTTTTGCTTTGTATATATTATAGAATGTACAACGAATTGTGAATGGGGTTTGGCAAATGAATACCAAAAACATGCATGTTATGAGTTTATAGCGTTTTTGTATGCTGCTCTAGCTAACGAACACTGGCACGACTGTAGTACTGTATTATTTAAGACTAAGAAAGTTACAAAAGGTATAACAAAATGTGGTAGCCTATATGAAAAATATTATTTTCTTTATATTGATGATAATAGGATCTACACTAAATTTGAAGCGGGGCCAGGGACGTGTAAATAAATGTTTTGTAGACTATCTCTGATTATTAGTTTGGCCATTTCACTTTGTTGCGACACTGTAAGTTTCTAACGACATCTATTTCACTAGTCATTAGGCAATGATCTATGGACGTGTAAATGAATGTATTACAGCCTATCTCTGAGTATTAGTTTGGACATTTCACTTTGGTAGACAAGGTAAGTTTCTAACGACATCTATTTCATTAGGCAATTCTCTATGGCAGTTCTGACAACTGGGTTATCATCTAACAGTTTCTCTGCGTCTTGGATGGAGCACTTTAATGCTGCCTTCAATAGAGCAACTGGTACTACCTGAAGAAAATAAAAACATTCAATGATTCTACTTCACTTTCATAACACTGGCAATGCTAACCAAAATGAGCTATTAGTTGGCCAACTATACAGAGAAGATCTATGGGATGGGCCACAGGCTCACTCGATCATTACATATTTAATATTGTTCGAATGTTACTAAAGTGGTTTGTCATCTAATATATGATCAATACGAGTACAATTGATATAGACTTTATTGTGTGTGTACAATCGCTTTAGATATCATTTTAGAAGAAGTAGTTATTTCTGTCAAAGAGAGATATTTACATATTTTTTGGGGGGGGATTTTCAACAATAATATTGACTTTTACCCTGTCCATTGGTGTAGCTATAGCAATCCGTTCTTCTACAGTTGTGTCCCTCAGTCTTGCAGAAGGATCATCACATTTAAAAACTGAGCAAATGAGAGCATTTTCGGCTTCGGTTTCTGACGATCCTACCAACTTTTGAATGATCGAGATGGCACGGTGGTAAAGCTTTTGGTTACTGAAAAGCAAAATTTCATATATTTGGAAAGAAGCTTTTAAGGCTTGTGTGCAACTCGCCATAGAATATTCTACACATGGTCTTACATTTTAATTTATTGGAAACAAAACCTTAATGTTCTTCCAGAAATGGTACTTTCTACAACCATTCAACCAGTTTGACAATGTCAAGAGATCTTAGAACCCCGGGCTTTGAACATGTATTGCATTTATTGTATTGCCTTCAGTATGAATTGCCTCCTGGTAGTGTGATAATATTTCTTGAGTTAGATAACAGTTTGGGATGTTTGGGGTTTATTTTTTTATCTTTTCCGTGTCTTTGTTGAAAATAACTTTAAAAAAGAATCTTCAGAACTTACTATTCAAATATATCATGTCGATTCATGAATTCATGTCAGGAATGGAACTCATCCTACCTGACCTTGACATCTATCATGATATTCTGGTATATCTTTCCAATCATGATATGAGCCCCTGTGCTTATGGCGTTGCATATCCACTTTGAGGATATCTCCACTAGAGACATCCAACACATGGACAACAGATCAGCACCAATCAGCTCTTCACACTCATCCCATGGAAGATCCATGTTTAATGTTATGGAGGCTTTGGGCCAATCATGCGGTTGAGATACCTACACAATATACAACCGTTCGTTAGAAACTTTCAACAGAAAGCTTTCTAAATAACAAAGTTATATCTAAACATACATTTTCCTCATGTCTTGCTCTATTTGGACATGTTCTTCACATTTTAATTATTGCACCCACTCATCTGAACGAAACTTGTCATTCAAGGTGATCAGGTATTCACTTCAAATTGTTAACATTATTGGATAATGCTGGAAAGACAAACAATCACAAACCTGAGTGTTGTTTGGTTTTGTATAGTCTTTGTAGTTTATGAGGATTGTCTTGGCATTACCTGTTTTCAGGTTAGGAACTTGATTGTCTGAAAATATAGAACCATGGTCAGCTAATGTATTTTAAGTATTGTAAGTAAGAAAACACTTTTTGACATGTGATTTACACTTCATTTAGTTTTTCGGGGATTGTAATATTTTGTTTTTCCTATGCCAAGTTACTCCTCCAAGTGCTTTCTATTCATAGAAACAATACTACTGTAGACACCATAAAAGTGATTTGTTCTTGTCAGTGTACAAAATTAAAAAATAAGGCAAAACACAAAACACATAAACGCCCATCAGCCTTGCGAAATCAATATACTCCTCTTTTACGCCCATGGGTCAATGCTTCAATTATAATAGTTACATTAACAAAGTGATTGATGAACAAACATTATTCACTGCACCGAAAACATACCCTGTGTTTGTAGAACAATCACTGTGTCCTTGTTCGATAAATTAGGAGATATGTCTTGCTCAAAGTTGCGGAATGATATTCTAAAATGTCTGCCCTAAAAAAGTCAATTACAGAATACGTTAAAATTTGGAAATTGTAATTACACATTACATTTAATATAATAAATATATTTTCACGATAATACATTTTACCATGTGAGTTATGTCCCCTTCTTCGTTTCCAAATGCTTCAAAACCATTATTTATGAAACCACGGATATCGTCTAAAGCTGCAATTGTAAAACACATAAAATGTTGGGAAAAGGTTGATGAATCAAGATGATGAGTATCATAATTGATAATTAGTGATATGAACATAATTAAGGACCTACTTGCACCAAAAGTCGGGGGACATTCTGAGGCGTCTATCATACCAACTATACCAAGACTCCCCATCCCAAGGTAATATATATGGCCACCATGTTTGAGACTGAAGCAAAGATCAAATGAAATGTTTAACAATGCCTCGCAAAAACTCATCCTCGAAGAAAAAACTCTTTATTATTGACTCGTGGTAACATAATCATACTATTCATTACATTAATCAACCAAATGATAACACAAACAATTTGATAATATTATGCAATCATCGCTCCTCTCTATATGATAGTATAAGTAAGAATTGTCTTGCCAAGCAAGGCGTCTGAAACTAAAGACCTATAATAAATAGGAAATGCAAAGAACCTACCCCTCTCCTGACATAGCTACAATGGAACCAATTTTCTCTGACTGTTTATATGTTGCTTTTCTTATGGTTTCGTAGCAATTCAACACTGACTTAGATGAACTAAAATATAAAAAACATGACTTCAGATGTATAATAAATACCAGTAAGTAAAACCTGAGACCATCATAAAATTTTATGTTAGTCTCAGGTAAAACACACTTAAACGAAAAAATGAATTATACAAATATAGCAAGCAGATTTGTACCATAAGCTAAGGCATGAACCGCCAAAATAGACATTTGTGATTATTGGATTCGTGTGAACTTTCAATTTGCCCCACATGTGACGTAAATATATCATGGTGTATTGTCACGCAATTCGATTCATCGTTCGTTTTGTGAAATATATACTTTCATAGGCGTTTGTAGTATTTTCTGTGTTTTACTCGAATCATTGAATGACATAGTATCGTATTGGTAGATATTGAGAAACTTCAGACTTACCACTTTTGTTTCAGAATGAGTTTGGAAAAGCATTGAGCAAAAATGGTCTCCAATAATATCTTCGTAGTGGTCCCACTCTTCATTCTACTTGACCCACTAATGGGTTCAGGCTATAAATGAACGCCAAAAAAGCAGAAAATGAATATAATAGCTCGCACAATGTGAGCTAAAACATCAATCAAAATTGATATTCAATATACAAAAGCAGTATTGGAACGACATGAACCTTTAAAAAACTTGCTTCTGATTAAATATCTAGAGTATTTTTTCATTATTGTTATGAGATTGATATAGATTTGCGAAAAAGTTCACTTACTCCAACTACAGGGTTGAGTATGTATCCGTCCCCTGCTTTTGAAAGAGTTTCTAATCTCCGAGCAACTGTAAGTAACACACAAGATCTAACTTCAGATTTGTGTGATAAACCCCAAATATTCAAAGTTAATGAAAACAAAGAATGAAATCGGAATACTATAGTATTGAAACAAACAGAATTAAATCCTCTGCTAGGGGCTGATGTGAAAAGGTCCAACCCAGTGAGGATCGAACCCATGTTCCCTCAATTGCCGGACATTTTAGAAATGTTGAAAAAAACAATTACTAAAATATATCTGTGACAGTATTTGAACATTGAGAAATTCCAACAAATTCAAGAATTAATATAAAATGTCAAATACATCTAAGAATCTCAGAATAGATCTGGTGATACAATTTGGACGAGTTTATCATTGTTCAATAACGACACAGTATTATATTATCTGAACAATATCTGAGACTAACTTACCATCCAATAATTTTTGTCCCAATTTCTTATCGGAATATCGCGTGCCATCTCTACGGGATTAAATCCACTTACCATCAAGGAATGTTTTGTCCCAATTTCTTATCGGAATATCCCGTGCCATCTCTATAGGATTAAATCCCATTAGAACAGGGATGAATCTATTTGGATTATCCATGCAGTAATCTAACTGTCCGGCCACGAAGGGGGCAGATAGACCGCACGTTATACCAATGTACAGGACATTCTGTTTTCCAGCACAGATCTAAAGAAAAAATCTAATTTTACTCTTAATGTAACGCTTACGCAAGTAGGACAATTTACCTAAAATAACAGTAAATTAATACACAGAGAGTTAAAATGCATGCTTGGCTAGGCTGGCAAATCAGAACACAGAACAGCCATTCTATATTCAACACCAGATGAATGGTTATTTTGGCCTTGACCTAGATTCAGTGAAATCGATTACAACCATATTTGTCAAAAACAGACCTTTAAACAGATGGAATCAGTTTTAAATTATTCAAGTAATTGTTTAACCCTTATTATACACTGACTTATGTTTTGAATCTAGTAGATATACATGCTTTAAATGATGTGTATCACCTCCTTCAGTGCGTCGATGCCATGATGTGGATCATCTTCGTACGCTTCTTGGGAAGTAAATAGCGCCCTGAAAATACCCTACTTAATAACCTAGCATTTTGAATGCATTTAAACAATTAATTTATAATTGTACATCCATAATATCATAACATTACATAACATAACATAACATACATACTTGTCCTTTCCAGCAATGATATATCTGAAGCAATCAGTTATACCTGCTCCTCTCAGCTTTTCATTGAAAGATCTCTAGAGATAGAAATGTATCAAACAATAAATTAATAATATGTATTACTATGGAAACAGAATATTTATTCGGAACGAACAGACACAAAGTCACGCCCTTTTCCTTTGAAGAATTCTGGGAAACTAAAAGGGGGGCGGGCTCCATGCCCCACCCCGCCCGGATCCGCCACTATTGGAACCATAAGTGACGTAAAGTTACTCATGGGCTTTCAACATATAATTGCGAATTTTAAAAATGTTCCTAAAAATAGAGGATCTTGGCTTTTTACTTATTGACGCCAAACAGAGGGCCTAAAACGTCAAACGGAAAAAGGAGATACAGGTTGCTCCTTATGACATCAGATCTCGTCGACCTGAGAATATACTTACTGCAGCCATAAAGGCTAAACGACCAGATGTCCCACATCCACTCATCACAACAAGGCTCGTCTCTGGATCCTTCAAAAAAGAAAATGTGGTGTAATGAATTATTACATGATTTGGTTTCGGGCGGCACAACCATACACTTTATCATGATTCATCAACAAGCGACGCAAAATCAAATTATATTCTAACAGTTAAAACCTCGAAACCCAAAATAACATAATAATTACTGAAAGGGAATCGACCGTTACAAACAAATACAGTCGTTTCTTGCAATGCGGACCCATGGTTTGGAACAGTTTTTCTCTCGTTTATAACACTCACTGGGCATGAGTTTTTCATTTAGCAGTTTAGCACCCTTGTGCACCGCTTATTGAATCTACAGTCAAATAAAAATACCTTGAAGATGAAACCAATTGCTTTGTTTGCTATTTCATCTATGGTTTCAGCTATATGAATGTTGTCCAAAAGTCCTCCGTGGTCACCCCATCCAGTAAAGATCTCATTGTCGCAAGCAGCCAGCTTTCCAACGATACCTAAATAAGACTGATGTGGTGAATATCCGTCAGGGTTTCTCGCTAATTATACGCTCAACATATTTTATATCATTTTACGCACACCGGAATAGCCTGACAACGGCGACGGTAAAGTCAGATACCACCGTTGTCACAAATGGCGGACATAACCGTCGCTTCAATTAGATTTTCATGTGTCACGGGCGACTGGCGATTATTCCGAGGTTGGGGTTGGCCAAGCCGGGCTGATGGACGTTTATTTCATGACCAAATATCCTGCCTCATTTTTCAACTTTGAAATAATCATTAATGGCTGACAAGAAGCAATAAAAAGGACTTACAGTGGCTAGCCGAATGCTAATATCTCACCGCTATATTCTGATATTGTGCCATGTTTCTCATGTCAATGTTGTTTGTAATTGACACAAAGATCGATTGAATGATGGGGCCCCCAATGATAAGTGTTACAGGACCGCGCAAATGATCTCTAGGTACCTACTTTTGCTGTCTGCAACATCTATATCCAATGTAATGTTATTTGATCCTTCTGTGATGTACTTCATTCTTCGCTCCTAATCTCCTTTCTGTTGTAAATGATCGGTCCCAAAGCTGCCTACTCTAATCTGATTGGATAAAATTTATATTACTCGTGAATTTGCTGAGGTTTGCAAAGTCTTTATTTTCTCTTGGTCAGTACAGTTTTGAACTATGGATACCACTATATAATGGCTATAATTCAACTAACTCGGCTATGTGCATATAGTTGACAACGAAGTACACTTGTTCAGAGATAAGTCCGCTGTTCTGACTGTGATAGTGAATACACTTATGGTACCTTTAAGTTCCCAATGTAGTCTAAGAAACTATATCTGTGATATCTATGTATGCCCCTTTATCTCAGTTTAAATCTAACTAACTTGAACAACACTTGAAATGTACAGCAAATTGACATTATGTTTCCTAAGTACGGTTCCATATGATTACACATGACCTCGAAATTGAGAATTGACCTCTCATTTGACATTGACCTTCGACTAATGTACGGCGTTGACCTTGGTAGTATATAAATATATATACTATCGTCAGCTTGTCAGGAAGCCTCAAAGGAACCTTAACAGAGTAATCATTAACCAAGTTTGGCCTTGGGTTGTGTCCCGGGTTGTGTTAGTGGCATTATTTCAGTATTTAGAGCCCCCCCCCCCCTTTAGACCTGTTATTTAGATCATGTTACACTTGTAGTACCCAAAATAAAAATCATAACATGGTGTGTCCGTACCCGGCTTTGACAAGGGATCTGAACACTGATTCATATAACCCTATTATTATTAGCTAGATAATAGTATGTGGGCTGTCTCATCTCATCTCATTAGTAGTGGTTGGTGAGTCATCAAGTACATCCCTTGGGAGATTTATTTTCATCCAGTGTAAATGTACTGAACGAAATTCCTTCGCACATAGTAAATAATAGTGGTTGTTTCTTCGATAAAATGGAGTATTCCAATACATAAATGATAATATATGCAATTGAAATATTTTCTTACATGATTTCAACTTGTTTTGCCAAACAACACAATGTAACTAGGCCACCAAAAAAAGAGTTATAGATCTAAGAATTCGTGATACTACACATCCGCCATTTTTGATTGACCAAAAACACTTCCTGGTCTAAAAAAACTTCGGGGACAAAAACGGCATATTTTATGTGGATTTAAGAGTCAATAGCCCATCATATATAACATATGGAAGTGCGAATTAAATGAAGTTAAATTAATGAAGTGTTTGTGAATTTTGTGTACCCGAAAATGGGCAACTGTTTGAGGAAACACGAAAGCAAAGAAAATTTGAACAATGACCCAAACAAATTTAAAAAGGGAGTTGTAAATGGCGGTACAGCCTCTTCAAATCCCGTCATAGACCCTATAAATGTGAACGTCCAGTTACAAGGACCTTCGATCAATAGCCCTGTGCAGCATTCAAGTGTCGCAGGAGACAATAATTCTTCAGCAGGAATTTCATCACCAAACATCAAACTTTTTATAGCGTTATATGATTATGAGGCAAGGACAGACGAGGATTTAAGTTTTAAAAAAGGAGAACAGTTGGAAATAATAAATGATACACAAGGCGACTGGTGGTATGCTCGATCAAAGGATTCAAAATTTGAAGGCTATATTCCATCGAACTATGTTGCTAAAGTCAAAAGCTTAGAATCAGAAGCGTAAGTTTTGAGTCTTGCATTTTTTCTATTACAGTTTTAAAGACAAGCTTTCTAAATTTCAGTTACAGTCAATTTTCTCAAAATGAACCATTTACTGCTAGAAATTCTCTATCATAACATTGATTTACAAGCAGTGACTATTCTTAATAACTTACATGTGTGTTTTCTGAATTATGTGTAATTTTTCAGCTGGTACTTTGGAAAAATCAAACGAATTGAAGCAGAAAAGAAACTTCTGCTAGCTGAGAATGAACATGGAGCTTTCCTAATACGAGATAGTGAAAGTAGAAGAAATGATTTCTCACTTTCTGGTGAGTGTTTTTAGTTTATTTTCTGTTCGAAAAACCATGACAGAGTTGGAATCCAAAGTTTATTTTGGATTGTTAGTTTGCAGGAATTAGCAATCAATGGATCACAATGCAATCTTATTGCAATTAAAAAAGTACAAACACAGTTAGGCTTAATTCTTTTAAATTTAAGATTTGCATATAGTGGAATGACTTAAATGTCAATATTATCACCCTCTTGTTGAATCTGTCCCAGGCAGTTGCTCTAGAATGTGTGTAGTACATGAAATATGGGCATTTGATTGCTTGTTTTAGTAACTAATAATCTAATATAACCCAATGATTCAAACCTTTAACTCCCAAGAATTCTCAGGAGAATGAATTCTTTATGAGGATGACATGAAAATATGAAACAACCATTTTTACCAAGTTATATACCATAGATACTCAATTGTGCACATTGACATTTATATATGTGGGCAAAATAATATGAAAAAAGAGGTTGGAACTGCTTGTGAAAAAGCCAATGTGGCTATAAAATAAAAAGGTGCTTACCCTGAACCAGTTCTACCTTGCATGTCATATGTTAAAACTTGTGTATCAATTCAATAAACATTAATGTTGGAAAAGGGGTGACAGAAGTCTCAAACATCAGAGAATGGGAATGAACCTGAAATAGCAAGTACAATTATATAGAATAAATATAAATAAAATTCAACTTTGCAGCATCTTATTTTGCAAATATCTTCTTGGTCCTAGTTTCAATTAGCATAAATGAATCACCTTGAAATAAACTACCACATGCCCAAAGGATACTAGAGAAACTTTGTCAAGTTAAGAATTCGTAAAGTCCATTGTTCTCTTACTGTGACGTCATTATATCCATGGTTACAACAATTGATTTACGAATTCGTAACTTTACGAAGTTTCTGTTAATGACCCCCTGCTTATGAACTGTACTTATTATTGATTTGTTGTTATATTTGTAGTCCGCGATGGAGACACAGTTAAACACTATAGAATCAGACAATTAGACGAAGGGGGCTTCTTTATAGCTCGCAGGGTCTCATTCCGTTCACTCTCTGAACTTGTGGAACATTACACCCATGATGCAGATGGTCTCTGTGTCAATCTACGGAAGCCATGTAGCAAGGTAAGGCATTAGAAACTACATATAAAGTGCATGCCCATAGCCAGGACCAAATTTCTTTCAAAATCATGAGTTTTTCATCTTTCGAAGTACTTTCCAAGTGATTTTGGGCTGAATGTGAACCCCCATGACCTAGGAATTTTTTTAAAAGTGACCCAGCCCTTTGGCCATGGGTCTGAAAGTAGGTTTTCAATTGGAATGACTTAGGATGTGTTTATAAAGTTATAGCAAATTACACATTACAGTATGACATTATCATGTCAGCCAATTTAATTATCCTGATTTCTGACTCATGCTTATTATAGCCTATTCTAAGAATTATTGATATATATTTTCATTTCAGAGTGATAAACCTCAAACTGTAGGTTTATCATATAACACAAAGGACCAATGGGAGATTCCTAAGAGTTCATTACGGTTAAAGACCAAAATTGGTCATGGACAGTTCGGGGAGGTTTACGAGGGTCTATGGAACAACACTACTCCTGTTGCTATTAAGACACTCAAGCCAGGTATGAAATGAAAATGATAACCACCCCAGATGATGATTACAATTTAAAAGCTGACTTGTCAGTTATGAGCAAATCATTGTTAAAAAATAATTCTTAAACACTTTCAGAAACTGGTCCAGTTTAATGAATAATATGAATTTCAATAAAATTCAGGCCTTACCACAGCTTAACAAAAATTTGGTAACCCATAATGAATGAAATTTTCTGAAAATTCAAGAATGTAAGGAATAACATACAAACCCACCCCTCTCCTCTCCAATGCAAACACCTCATAGTCGATGATGAGGGAGTGCTTGTGTTTTGATGCACAACTATAATACCTTTACTTGTATCATCTCTCTCCAGGAACTATGGACCCCAAAGACTTCCTGGCCGAGGCACAGATAATGAAGAAACTCAGACATAACAAACTTATACAACTATATGCAGTATGTACCAAGGATGAACCTATATATATCGTCACAGAGCTTATGAGGCATGGCAGTTTACTGGAATACTTACAAGGTAAACATTTCTTATATATAAATGTATTATCACTTGTAATTTATCAGTAAGGTTATGAGCTGCCAGTCATTGTTTGCAGTTGGAGCTTTTTCAAGTTTCATTTATGGATTCAGAAGAATTTTCATTTCAAGTTTCATTTTGGTGATTATGGGTTGAGAAGAGTTTCTATTTGGTTTAATTCACCAAAATACTCCTCATATGTCAATTGGGTCTTGACATTTTCAAATATTTTTATTAATATGAAATTCAGTATTTTTTCTATTCCCAGTGTACCACGAGTTAGTAGTTAACATAGGGGTAAAGAATAACATCAAGACCAGAATCGATTTAGTTACTTGACTTTTGATTTTATTTGGAAAAATCAGATTGGACTCTGCTGTGAAAAAAAACATCAAAATCAATACATGGTGGTCCATTACCCTAACAACATGCACATTTGATGGGAGGGGTCATTCCAAAAAGTTTCCCTTAAGTTCAGCATGCTTATAAAGTACAGTGAACCCTGTAAAGTGGAACACCTTTATAAGTGGAACACTTCAGAGTCCCAAGACCAACTGACTTAATGTTGAATGAACCTCTTAAATGGAAGACCTCCAAAGTGGAACACTTTTTAGAGGTACCAAAGGTATTCCAATAAGACAGGTTTTACATGCATCAGCCTATGGAATTTGAACTAAATCTTTTCACTAGTATTTTATTTGAGTTATCAAAGATTGACTAAGATTACACTTTTCATTAAAAAATGGCAGCCGTTCTAAATTCAGCTGAGATTTCAACTAAAATCTGGACTTATTGATATAAAATACAAATGAATATAGATAAAGGAATACTAGTTATAGTCAAGTCTCAATTTATTGGAGAGGGTTTAGTGTTGAATTCATATATTTTAGTCTGCAAGTCTAGTTCTTTCACTTTTTATGTCACCACCAAAAGTGGTGACATTGTTATGGTATCCAACTTTTTTGTGGATAGTGTTGGCAGTAGGTGGTGACGTTTTGCATGTTAATGCCTTGTTATATATTTCTGATATCAACCATCGTAGGTTTAAGAACATTATGACTGTAAAATGTTTGAAAGGTCAAGATGACATTCCAATCTGAAAATACCAATAAATTGTTGATTATCTCAAGTGCATTTTAGATTTATAAACGATTGACACTCACTATTTTTCAATGACATTTTAAATGCTTTAAAAATAGCTACCGGTTAGACATGGCAACCGAATGTTCTCATAATGTGGCTAATGTGTAATACAATGTAATTGAATGTGATGTCATGAGGAAGTTAAATACATTCTACTTTCGAAGTATTTAAATATGTTTTTGGTTAGTGTGCACATTGTTCTTTGCTCAGTAATCGGCACAAAGAATTCAATTTTGCAATTATGTGTACACTGTACTTCCTTTTTACAAACACAATTACAAATATAGTTTTCTAAAAAAACATTGTAGGTATGTTAAGCCGACACCATAACATACAATTCTGTACAATCTTCTTCCAGATATTTTACTGGGTACATTTAGGATATTTTCAAAACCTTTAAAAAACATGATTTTCATGGATTTTCTCTACTCATTACTGTGCCAATGAATTTTTAGGGGGTATAATATAAAGTGAGGGAAGTACATATCTGTTTCTAATATGGTCAAGGTGATCTCTTAGTTTATTCCCATTATAGAGTATGTACATGGCAGTTGATATAAACTTGATTTACGTGATTTAATAATCAATATTAGTCAAATTGATGCCATATTAAGTTGAGGTTTTAAAAACTTTATCAGTTTGAAGGTCCAGTTGATCTATTTTTATTTGAGTTTTTTTTACTCTGCTATGCTATCTAACCCAAGATAGCCACTTGGTGTTGACCTTATTGCATCTAGCTAGTGCAAAGCAAAGTTGTTTCTTATGAATATTCACTTGCTACAAATGTGCTATGTGGAAATGATCAACTCAACTCCCGAGTCAACTCAACCTAAGTCATCTCAACCCAAAGTCAACTCAACATTTAATGAACTTAACCTCAAATGATTTTTAGAAATATTAAGTCAGTGCACAATTGTTTTTCGTTTTATGTAAAATATAAGACCTTAAAGGAAGTAATTATTGCAAATTACAGCTTGCTCTCACTTGATAAATTCATGTTTCATTCATAAGATCATGTTTGAATGGTTAAAAAATATTATCTATTAAATATATCTCATTGATGATTTTCAAGACAATATAGTTTATCTTATTGCCATACTTTTTGCTAAAATGTTTCAATTTCTAGATGAGTTATATTCTTTTAGATTATATATTTGTAAATGCATTTGTATTAAATTATACTCATGGTTGAGTTGACTAAGGTTTGAGTTGATGAAGGATTGAGTTGACCAAAGGGGTTAAGATGACCAGGAATCCAACAACCTTAATTAATTGCTATTTAACATCAACCACTTTATATCATTCTCAGTTCTGAAATTATAAATGTTTACTTTCAGGAAAAGGAAGAGCATTGAAGTTGCCACAACTTATAGATGTCGCTGCCCAGATTGCCTCTGGGATGGCTTACCTGGAGTCACAAAATTACATTCACAGAGATCTTGCTGCTCGTAACATTCTAGTTGGTGAAGGAAACTGTGTCAAGATTGCAGATTTTGGCCTAGCTCGGGTTATCAAGGTGAGTTGAGGCATTCTATTTTGGATTTGATCCCTTAAAAAATCGTTTCATAAAGTATATTCAAATTTAACACCCTGTACTGAATTGGAGAATAGTAATGGGTCCAACATATTTCTTAATGAATATGTATAACTGTACAATACATATTGTCACATTTCAATTCTAATATCTTTTCAATTAAACATTTTTATTCCTTTTTATGAGAATGGTGATCTAAAACTGCATTTAGTCAACTTGAGAGCATATTTGAAAAAGCATGTTTATAGGATCTTGGGTCAATGAATATTTCAGCACTGGTTGAAATCAAGCAGAAGTTTTGATTAAATCCTTATCAGTTTGAGGTTAAATAAGGTGTAAGTACTCCTTGAGACTCAACATGAACATTTACGAGTGTCTGACTTTCTTATTACAAGAAATTTTAGACTTAGTACAAGAGCCATTATTGGAAGTAACTAAGATGTAGAACTATTGCATGGATATATTACAATATCAAGCAGTTTCACTTCCAATATGATGTTGCAATACAATGGAAAAATACAATGTTCAATTACATTGAACATTGTATATGCATACTGAGAATTCATTACAGAAAAATCACATTTAATAAATCGCAGTTAAAATAACTATTAGTACAGCAGATACTATTGATAACGACTACCCCCCCCCCCCTCCACGTCTAGCAGGTTGATTTCTAACCCCCTGCTGGTAATCTATTGATTTAAACTCCCCTTTCCCAGAAATCTGTTGATGATGAAGTATACCCCCATTGCCCCCCCCACAATCTTTGAAGTCCTAATAAAAAAGATTAAGAGTATTCAATTAAATCTGTTCCATGTCTAAAAATATTTGTGTAGATGGTGATCTATGAAATAGATAGAAAATCTGTTTATTGGAATACAAAACATCTGTACAATCTTTTCTGTCATAATAACATCCCAATTTGTGTATGTTCTCTTGAGGTCATGATGGGACTTGTTTTAAAGAAAAACAATCCATTGGTATGTTTCTATTTACCCTGAGGTTAGAGCTAGTGCTTTAGGCTCTGAATAGGAGAAATAACCATACAGTTTTGATGGTGATATGATCTGAATGACTAAAGTTAGCTGTTGTGGTTTCAAATGAGTATATTTATACAAAATTAATCCCAGGTGTACACAATTTAGTGGATGCTATTCTGATTGGGGAACTGGATTTTATTGACCTATTCTGATTGGTTGAGGATAGATCAAAGGATTGTCTCAATTTGAAAGAGTGTAGATGAACCTCTCTTTTAAGGAAGCAGAGCCAAAATATTGGAAATTGTCGTTTTTCCTAGAACATGGTTTGTTTTTCCTCAGTCAACTGTGCCATCTTTTAACCTCAGGGATCTTTTACACAAGATATCTGGTTTTAAATAGATGGCACTTCTGCTTATTAGCCTCTGTTATCCTCCTGATGTTTTCTTGTTTATGGTAGAACTCTCCTTACTTTTTGTACCATTGAGATGCATGTTAAAGTGACAAAGCTCGAATTAGAATTTCTCAAATCGCAGCCCATCTATTTTTGAAGAATTTCAGAGAAATACAGTAAAACATCTCACCTTCATGTCAAAAAAATTTCAACAAAAATATCCTACGAAAATCAAAAGTTCTGCTCCCTTACATATTTGGAGTACCAAAACATCATCATATTTATGTACATTGACCAATGCACCACTACCAAGGTCATCCATTCGCAGAAAATAATCCCAAAGATTTTACCATTCACTGTTATGATCACATGTTTCCCAGTTATTCTGGGCATTTATATGTCTGCAAATTAGAGTATTCCATCCAAAGATGGTGCTTTAGTATACCATTGAAGTCCCCAAACAGGTTTCTAATAGAACTACTTTCCTCATACCACGAAATAAACAAATTGAGTAAGGATACTACACTCTATTAAAGGTACCTACAATCCTACATTTTTGGATAACTCCAATTTGTATAACAGGGGGCAATAAATGCATATTTGTACCACTGGCGGATCTGGGGCCTGGACCCATTAAGTTGTGGGCCTTTTTGGGCATTACCTTTTAAGGCCTTAATTGTCATTGTGTATGCTTCTTTTTTGAAGATCAAACAGAGAGAATTGTTTTCAAAAAGAAATAAAAGTTTCATAGTCATGAGAAAAATATTTGAATGAAAAATAATGTATTTTCTTAAATTTACACGGGGCCTTGAATTGAAATCTTAAATAACCCAAGTTATTCACGTCTTCTATGTGATTAGATTACTTATAGTTTTTACTTATCTTGACAAGTGTTTTGCTAAATTATGGAGTTTACATTGTTTATATTCACAAGATTTGATATACATGAGTGTATAATATCATCAGATCTATTAAAAGATTTTCACAAAATGTTCATAACCGTTTGACCCTTTGAACTAAGTGCTGCCTCAAATATAGATAGAGTAAAAAAACATAAGCGGAGCACCTTTGGCACCTCTAAAAAGTGTTCCACATGGGAGGTATAAAGAGGTTTATTCAACATTGAGCCAATAGGTCATGGCACTCTGGAAAGTCTCCCACTTATAGAGATGTTCCATTTGACAGCTTTTTACTCTACCTGTAGTTTCTAATGACACCACAAAACATTGAGGTTTTGAATATCTCATAGAGAACAATATACATTGATGTGTATCAGAGATAGTATCAAGATCATTAAATATTGAAGACGATTGCATTGATATATCCCATGAGTTCCAATTTTTGTCATTATTTTTCAGAAACCATATGCACCTTTCCCTTGGATGAACTGAAGACGTACAAATCATTTAGATGGATATATTTACACTTACATTTATTATACCAATACAGGAAAAAAATAAAGATAATTAACAACTAGAATATATTCAATAATTAACAGCTAAAACAAATCGCTATTGTATGTTACAGGAGGATGAATATGAAGCCAGAGTTGGTGCTAGGTTTCCGATAAAGTGGACAGCCCCAGAAGCAGCCAACTATAACAGATTCACCATCAAGTCTGACGTTTGGTCTTTCGGGATCCTTCTCACAGAAATTGTCACATATGGCAGGATTCCATACCCAGGTCTGGTATTTCTCTTGGTTTTTCATTCTCAAAACAGATATAAATAAAACTTGTGCATTTGCTGCAACAAAATGTTCAGTGTTGGTAGGTGTTCACTACAGAGAGGGTAATTTATACAGAAGTGAATAGAGAATGTAAGGAGGAAGGGTGTCCACTATGGCTAGGGACAGGTGTTTACTATGGAGAGGTGTTCACTAAGACAGCTTTTATTGTGCAAGGATTCAATGAACATTTTACTTTTCTATAATATTATGCTTAAGTGATGAGGCAAAATATCTTTTATAGGGGTTTTACTGAAGGCACTTGAATTTCTAATACCTTTTTTCTTAGACACCAATGAACCGCATTGAGATTATAAATGTTCAGATTCTGAATTATCATACCTGAAAAGATATGACATATGATCAAACTTTAATTTCATACATTATTTCTTCGATGACCTCATATCTTAGTTTGATGCTTACATTTCATTGGAATAAACTATTCTGAGTGATATAAAAAGGTATAAGTGGTAGAAAATGGATATCAATCCAACAAGTAAAAGTTGCAACAAAACGCTAAAATGATATTGAATCTTAATAATGACTTAATAATGCTATTGATAGATGGCACTTATGTACCTCCAACATGTTTTCCCTAAAGCAATGGGATAAAGCAATGCAGGTTATTTTGAGAGTAACAGTTATCATTTCAAGTTGTTTTGCCTCTTCCATATGATGCTTCGATTTGCTGTCTTTCACCAGGGAATATTGTTCTAAAGAAATCGGAGCTTTTGATTGTACAAATCTGGGATGTATTACACTGAACACAAAATACGCAAATGTGTTGGCTGTTTGTTTTTAAAACACTCAAAGGGAACTCCAAAGCAGTTCAATTTCATATTGTAAATTAAAACAATTGTCTAAATAGTATCACTGTATTTTCCAAAATATAGAAGTATCATCATATCTTTGTTTGATTATGATACACGAAAGAGGATTTCGATGTCTGGATTTATGTTTGAACAGGTTCACCAGACCACCCAAGATAAATCACTGTAAACCTTGCAGTGGTAAAAATTCTAATTCTAATTTTTCTTCAATTTAGAATCCTTGTGAAGTTTTAATTTAAAGAATGGAGAATTCAAATTGAAATATTTTTTTAGTAAATTGATCTAATGAGTTTCAAAATAGCTTCCTGTATATTATGGTTATGCTCAGTAATAGTTTGGAGAAAATGATTGTCTGAAGTAATCAATTACATTTAAATTAGGAAATAATATTTAATGATTAAATAAACAAGAAATAATCATTGACATCTTGAAATAATCATTGACATCGTGAAATGATCATTTACATTGTGAAATAATCATTGACATAGTGAAATAATCATTGACATCGTGAAACAATTATTTGGCATTGTGAAATAATCATAGACATCATGAAATAATCATTGACATTGTGAAAAAATCATTGACATCATGAAATAATCATTGACATCCTGAAATAATCATTGACATCGTGAAATTATCATTTGACGTTGTGAAATAATCATCAAAATTTGGAAACTTTACAGACTTGGGTTGAAGAAATGAGTTGTATAACTTATATATTTATAATTTATTGTTCCAGGAATGACAAATGCAGAAGTACTGCACCAAGTTGAGCATGGCTATAGGATGCCCTGTCCCCCAGGATGCCCCCAGGCACTTTATGAAATCATGTTAGAGTGCTGGAAGAAGGAAGAAATGGAACGTCCTACATTTGAGACCTTGCAGTGGAAGCTTGAAGAATTCTTCACTTTACCAGGGAGCGAATATAATGAGGCTTCTGCCATTAGATAATGACTACTGCTTTAGGCTATCAGTGCTGGAATTCACGTCATCTTGCGATCTTACAGTTCATTTTAAGTATTTGAGGATTGTGTTGAGGGGTGTACGAGTATAAATATATAAAAATCACTAAAAATGAAAAATAAGGTGGAAGAGTAGTTTGCCCATGAACAAGCATGGAATTCACATGAAAACTGGATAGAAATCGCTTGCTTTGTTCATTGTTTTTGCCTAAATGGAAAGTTGTATGCCAAGTTGTATTTTAATCAAGAACAGTTTGATCAGAGAAGACGTGGTTACTGAGCTCTGCTTCACACAAATCAGTTTAATGTGAGCGTTGATTGTACATGTATGTTGTGCCGCTATGCGGACAAAACACACACAATGACACTGTACTGTACCAGTAATGTTTATTTGGATGGTCCTATATTAAGGAACTTCAGTTGAGAAAATGTGCACTTTTATGATGGTATTAGTCGTACTTTATTGAAGAAACACCAATAGGTTATTATGACTTCAATTATTATCAACGAGAAAATCGTGACACATTTCACGATTGAATTTCCTCAATATTTGAAGTGATCGTATTATGAAAAAGGAGATTATCACCACAAGGATATATCATTGCCATGTGATGAAATCATCACATGCAAGCACTGTTAAATCATGAAAAAAACTGCTAAAAGTTAATTGTGTTTTTCTTGTGAATGTCTGAATGCTTCGTGTTCCTCTATCAGTATTGAGTAGGTGGTTCGATTTGAGCCGTTTGTAATAAAGTTGATATAAAATAGCTTGATGGAAAGCAGTGTATGACTGAATTCTAAAATAATGACAACACTGTTGATGCTTATTAAAATTAATCAGAATTTTACAATCAAAATGATTGCCATCGTCTATATTTTATTCAGTTTTTTGTAGATATTTCAATCATATGATGCTAAATACAAGTAGAAGTGTTAAAGATTGTATGATAGCCAGACACGAGGCACGCGAGGCCATTGCCACACCAAAATTTTAATGAAATATTGAAAAGTCCAAAGGTAATAAAATACCTCATTTGGCCTAAATTTGCCTCACCTATTTACATTTGCCTCGCCATTGTGAATTTTAGAAATTAGAGAGCTGACATAAAAATATTACTATTGGCCAAAAATATGTAAATTTTCATTCAGTTTATAGACTTTATCAAATCAAAGCAATTATAGATTTTCTAGACATTAAAATTTGTTTTGTTATGATATTGATTATCTGTAAATAAAAATGATAAACAGAGTAGCATGTAATGTGCGTACAGCATATATGAGTAGTAATCTAGTAGCACATATAACCACTTATAAGTAGCTATATAGCCATTCATGTGCATGTATATAATTATTATAATGGCGACTTTTTTAATTGAGCTTTTATCGGTACAGATATATGCAAGCTCAAAAGTTCTGATCTTGTATTTGTATAAAGGAAACATTATTATGAAAAATACACAAAAGTTAAATTCTGCTTTCTGAAGTTCAATTCAAAATCAAGTTTACCTAGGACCCAGCATATTATATGTACTATGCAATGGACAACATTGATCACTTAGGGTATTTAAAACTAGAACATGCGGTTGATGCAGTTTCATATTTGGTAAGCGCTACAACCTCGTTGCTGATGTCCATATCTTGTACATGTATTCTTAGCTATTTTTTAGTTTTTGTGGTTAAAGCTGTATTTTATCTCTGACTACATGTAACTGTGACTTGTGAATTCTTGTAAATAGATTTTAATAATGTCAAGACTTGGTTTTGTTATGTTCAGAGGTATTTCCAAATTTCGGGGGTAAGGCATTATTGAAACAAAGACTAGTATCGATTTGGAGAACGAAGTTCATCAGTCTACTGCACGTTACGCCTGCTTTGGGCAATTTTGATATTTTTACATATTGCAGATTTCAATGTCCTCTTTTGGATATCCATAATTTAATTTGGGTGATATTTCTATATTTTTCATAAAAAATTATTGGCCCAGGAGACTGTTCTCCAAACCGAGACTTGTCCTTTGACCCAATTTGACCAAACACATTACATGATACTGTTGAAGAATTTCGTGTGCTATATAAAGTCCTATATTGTCCTTGTAGTCTTGTGCTAATTGGGCGTGCGTACATCTGGGTGGGCACCACATAAATCTGATTAGGTTTTGGGCATGCTGTTCTTTACTGTGTAAACTGGCTAATATTTTTCGCTTCAACACATGACTTTATTATGTCATGGATAACTAACTATGAAAGGATATAATGAATTGATTTAAAAAATCAAAATTGAAATTATTCCCATTCAAAATTGTTATCGCCAAAATTACCCACCAAAAGCCTCAAGCCTAGTGTCTACTAATTTATAGAGAATAGATATCAACCACAAAGATTCATTTTTAAAATAATTTATTAAATTAATTTTGTTAAAACTATTTATTTATACAAACTGTATTTTAAGAGCAATTTACTAATCCTTTTGTCATGAGTTCATGATAGAATCCACTGAAAAGGAGATGGATGGATTGGATTTTGTCTTCGGTGATTTCCCATCTGAAGTGTGTCCTTTTGTAACTGATTTGAAAGCAGATTTCTCTGATAAAATATCTTTAGCTGCTAGTGATTGTTTTGGACTAGATAGTTCTGTAGGTATTGGTTGAGTTTGGGCCATGCCGCGTGCACGTGCTGTGACAGACGCTGCCATTTGCGCCATGTAGAGTTCGTATTGGCGGTAGACTAAATGTAAAGGTAGGCCGCCAAAGGCTGGATGTGTGGGGGAGTCGAATGCAGTTTTATTGGTGTCTTTCTTGTGTAACGTTTGATATTGGAGCTTAATTGCCATATTTGGGCATGTATAAGGCATCCCTTGCCTTCCCATATTCACGCTTGATTGCCCAGCTGCTTGGCGCGTGGTGGAAACAATCTGTTCGATCGCTTTCTCCATATCGCCCCCACATCCCTGCCAAACTAGCTCCAGTACATTAGGATTATGTGTGGGGAACAGTTTGTGTAAAAACTCCTTGGGCGCTCCAACCATCTCGTTTTGACGCGATCGCATTGCTTTAAGCGTCGACACGATTGGATACAACTGGGAATCCTGGGACGGTGCAGACGACTTTTTATCGGTTATCATAGTTTGTCTTTCTCGTTCCATCATTGCCTTCTCTACGTCCTTGTCCGCGAATGCCCGTCGTTTGCGCATCCTCTCGCTGATTATAGGAAGCACGGATCGCAGTGCCTCTGGGGGCGGAAGTGTGTGCAGTCTTGTCTGGTAGTCTATAAAGACAAATTATTGCTAATTAAAACATCCTCTTCATTCTTTGACATCCAACAATATGAAACAACTCTTCTTCCTGTGGTTCAAAAGTGCTTGATAAAAGTACAAGTCGGGGAAATTCGTTGGACTTTATGAAGTTTTTTCAATAAGATTCATTTTTGATTTGTTAGGAAATAGACATCATAAATACAAATAGTGAAAATGTAATGAAAGAGCAGTTAAATATCAATTGGCACAAAAATATACACATTCAACGCGGCCATTTGAATTATCACTGATTTGGTATCAAGTTTGTTTTGTTTAGTTTTAAATGTTGCCAATTGTGCAAAATCAAAATTTGTAGAGATTGAAATCTTAAAATGGATACGTGTGGAAATAGAATCGGTGGCCCTAAGTTATTTCTTTATTGATATGCTCAGATGATATCTAGAGCATCTAAAATATCTTCATATGAATACACATAATCATGACTATCTAAAGAGTATAGATATGCAGTACTTAATTTGCAATATTGTCTGTGCCAGTTTTTCCATAATATAATATTTCAACAATGTTATGTAAGTGCTTATTAATGCAATACATGTTACTATATGATATACGCTCGTAGTCTATTTATGTTCTTACTTTGGAGTATTTGTCGGGAGAGGGTGTGTTGCTGAAGGTTGCGCAAGTTCCGTTGCAGGGCCTTTCTCTGTTGCAGAATGGCGGCCGCGTTCTTTACTTTCGCTCGGGCAGTTGATTGGTCTTGGGGAGTCGTCTCAGTTGATTGCTGTCTGAAATTGAAAATATGACTACATGTACAAGCTACAGATATGAGAGAATGAGGGATAGAAGAGTTGAAAGTTTAAAAAAAATGTCACAACTTTTTCAATTACTTGTTGTTCTCATCAATTCACTCCATGCCTATTTTCTAAAAAGTACAACAGTTCGGACTTATAATGGTTCGATTTTCAAGGTATGACAGAAAAATAGATATTTCCATTCTGTTAATGTGAAATTAGGATTTCACACGAATCCCTTCTATTGTGTTTGAATATATACATTGTAATTAACAAATTATGATTCTTGATACAAAAATGCAGGTTATAACTTTTGGGGCTCACAAAATGTCTTCAAAAATTTACTTTTTAGTGGGAAAAAATGTTCAAACAAGTGACCAATGTTATTGTTCCTTTACGGCAATATGAGATTTCGGATTGATTGTTGTTAAAGCAGAAGTTGGTATATATCAACGTGTGCAACCAGTAGGATCACAACAAGATGCTATAGGAAATACATTTGATTAAATAACAATAATTTGAACAAACATATTGTTCCCTGAGAAGGAATGCAGATACCGATCCACAATGCCACATACGGCACCTCCTCGGCATATTTTTAATAAATAGATATTTAAAATAGAATGCCTCCTAGACTCATATTTTAAGATTATAATTCATGAAAAAATAAAATAAAAAAACAACCTCCTAGCCTCATATTTAATATCATAATTTTAAACCTGAAAGACAAAGTGAAAGTAAAAAACCATGAGCCTGGGTGACATGTTAGGGTCCAGGCAGCAATTATGTTTTCTTATTAATTGAATAGTATTCCTTTATTATTCCGCTTTACGGTGATGTAATGCATGCGTCAGTAATTTAACAATGCGTGCGTAAAAACAAATTACAAATTACTGTCTAGACTTTGAGGTGTTGTAATGCTCACGGAAAAACAGACAAACTTTTTTTTTTAAAGCGTCAAAAAAGCGTCAAAACTGTATCTTTTTCAAACCATTGCTACTGTTATCTAGAAAAGCCAAGTGTCAGATTATTTTGTGGTTCAAGTGATGTCAAAACAGATACCAATCATAACGCTCACAGTTTGCTACAACGTGACAAAGTGACAAGATGCCATGTTGGATATGAAAATTATCCCATATTGTGGTTGAGCTTTATCCCACCCATATGAAGTATGACGGCTGTCCGAACATTCCACATGATGATGAAAAATTAGTTGCTGCTGTTTGGAGGCAGTGGTAAACAAGAAATTACAGTGTGGCACAACGCGAGAAACATTCCGTGAACAAATCATGAAGTTGAACTGACACCATTTACTGAACATGTTAATGATGTAAATGAAGAACCACCCACGTTTGATACATCGTAGGCAATATTGGAATATCACATTCAACAGGACATCCGTTTACTTCGATCATAACAACTTAGAAATGGACTAGATGTCTAATTTTCTGAATGCATTATTTCATAACAAACTACTATTGTAATTAAATGCTTTATATATCCAAAAGGATATCAAACTGTACGAATAGTGTATTAAATGTATGTAATATTACTGCTGAATTGTCAGATATATGTTGTACGAAACAACAATAATAATGATATAATATGCAAAGCCATACCTGCGAAGGGACACCTGTGCAGCCATAACTCTCTGTCGCTCAACCACCAACAGACAATTGGTGCACTGACAGTCTTTCCATCGGCAATGACGCTTGTGGCCTTTTAGACACGACACCACACCGTGATTCCGACAGCGTGCGCATTTCGGGGTCCGAAGAAGTCGTTTGCTTGACATCTTTCCCATCTTAATGTTAGATGTTGAAGCTTGAGTGGTGTTTGTAGATTTTTGAGTAAGTCTGTCTGTCATATCCTGTAATGCGATCGCAAAATTTAAACTGTTCAACATACTGTTGATCACAAACTGTAAAATTGCCATAATACTGTCTTTAATTTTAAGTTGTATCCTATTATGATACAATTTCTTCCCGAAATGAATATTTTTCAAAGATTCGCATTCACCATTTCATCCAGGTATATACAAAATAATATATAAAGTATATGCAAAATAGTTTTTTCTCAAATTTATTTTTCGGGTAAAAATAATCATTTTTAGTTTCGACATTTAAAAAATTGTTTTATTGATTAAGATGTTTTATGTAATAACAGAGATAATATAAACGGGATGTCTAATATTCCTTGTAGTGAATATCATGATCTGAGATTATGGAATTTATACCTCCATAATATGATATTATGCTTGATCTCTTTGGGAAATCTTATATTGTGTCTCTCTATAAAGACATCTTCCTATTAAATAACCTCTATTTTCTTATATATACTGTATCGTTCATTTCACTCTGACAACTGGATAAAAACGATATCCTCCTAACCATGAGGTACACATCTTGAACTGATATCATGAAATTTTAAAAACCTCCGTTCGAAAAAACATCCATCGAATTTTTGGAAACAGATTAATGTTTAGTATAAAAAATAACACCGAAATCATTGACTCATTCATTACCAATATTGTATTCTCTACTTTTTGAATCCCATGTCCAGGTCCACGGTAAGAACGAGACGTGATGAGTGTCAGAATTACAATTAATTCGGAATAAAGATTGACTTTTCATCCTGCCGAGCTTTAAATGGAGTATAATAAAACCAGAAAGATTCTAAAATTGAAATTGACAGTCGGTCTTGTGATTTATCTATGAGTATCATATTTACAAGGGTCATCTGTGACAGTGCTGTCCAAATTATATTTTCAAAGTGAACGATTTTTTATTTCTGTATTATTTGTATTCCTACAAAAGAGCAACGCTATTAATCCTTCATTTTTCACAGGCTACACTCTACAAGAATGGAACTAACGACTTTATAAAAAGCCTTTATCCCTGCTATTGTCACTCACCTACTTGACGTCTCTTAAACCTGTTGCTCTGGTCCAGTCGAGGAGCTCTTGTTAAATCTGCTTTCTAGCTCTTTCTCTACAGCAACGTCCGTAATGATCTCAGTGGAAATCCAACTCAATAATGATCCCGGGACAAATTTACTTCAGATGTTTCACCCGATGTTATAACTTAGCCGTTGGCCCGCCCAACTTTTCTTACCAAAATGTTGCCTGAATTAACATTCGCATTCCTGATTGGTCGGAAGGGGCTGTAATGGATATACAGGGTGGGCTCATTTTAGATCAGATTCCCTTCGGGGTGAGTTTCATTTTCTCTTCAGATTCAGTAATTGTTTATTTATTCATTTGTTGATCTATTTGGATGGTTGGGATTAGTTATAGAAATATCAAAATGTAACATCTGACATACATTAACTAATATGTGACGATTTTACTGTTAAAACTGAGACAGTTAAAATATAAAAGTGAAATACTTTCACGAATTCAACTTAACATTAACAAGTTAACTTTTTGCTAGTTAACTCTAGGCATTCCTTGTGCTTGATATATTTTACTATATGCAGATGTTTTTAGAAGATCACTGAAAAATACTTATTTGCTCTCTTTATGATTGTCACTGGTAATTTTCTTATTATTGGTGTTTTGTAATTTTTACTGCCTTTTAACTTAATCCAAATTCCAAAAAGCTCGGAAACATAAGAGCCTAAAGATGCGTACATAGGTTGTCCACATTCAACATTGAAAACAACCTAACCTCAAAACAAAAATGACCACAAACAAAACGCCGATTCTACCAAGTTTCTGTGTATCAAATAGAACTTGACAGTAATTTATGATCATGACTTTACCAAATGTAGCACCTCTAAACTTTTTTACACCTAATAATTTTTTCTTATCTTAAACTACTAAGGGGTACGATAATGTTGTGAAATGTGATCCGAACTTGTTGCTCATTAATTAGGTTGAACAACACTTGACTTGATGAGCGCTGACAGTGGAACTGCTATTTGCAGGCCTCGCTAAGTGATACGTTTAATGACTCAATTCCTAGCCTTCCTGTCAACGGAATACTTTTCTTGAACCGATGTATGCACCTTTGTGCTTGATAAATTGAAATAGGTTTTGATTCGCAAAGTTCTGCGATCAGAAAGCAAATTTGTATGGGGTGTCAGACCCAAGTGCCCTATGAATATGAAGTTCTCTTTTAAAAGAGGTAAAATAAACAGTACAGAAATTTCACAATAACTCAATATTGCTATAAAACCAAAATTAGTTCTGTATAGTGCAAAGGCAAACATTTTATGATGATGTTAAAAAGTTCCAAATCACCCAGGTTTTATGCATTTTTAAGAAACTTGAGAAATATTACTTTAAAAAAATAAATAAATTCTATTGCAAGCATGAAATCATTGAACAAGGAGGTATAGATAAACATTTTCACGAAATGGCCTTTCAACCTTTTTATCTTCTCCATGGCGCTTTTGGAATCGAGATACCATTTGATCACATAAACAGTTGGAAAAGGTAGTTAAACATATTCACGTTTCTTTATGAAAATAAATTCACAGACGTTAGTATTCTTATTTGATTACGTTTTAACCCAATATACCCGACTGAATAGTGTTTCTGTGTTTATTACTTGTGTGTTAACTTAATAGTCAAAACTTATGAACTGAAGCATTTCCTATTTTAAACAGTGTCACAGTTTGCCGACTTTCACTTGATCTGTTCTGATTTTGTGTGATCCTCAAACTTGGCGGAACGGGATATTCAAAAAATTGACAATTTGTAAAATAAGTATTTGAGTATAGTGTTATCAACTTGGGATAACATACATGTCAAAACTCTCCCACACAGATTCAGACCACAGAAGACTATACGGGGGTCCAATCAATTCAATGAAAGTCCAAAATGGAATTTATATTTTACTCATATATTTCAAAGATTATCCTGTTGCATTTGAGAAAATTGACCTTTTAATATTGAAGTATTTTCGGAAATCTGTTTTTGTATGAAATCAAAACTTTTTACTAAATATGGTATTGACATAATCTAATAATTCACATTGAACAACGATTTGATATTTGAACATTGACATATTCTATTAAAAATGTACATGGTAATGGTATGGTCAAGCTAAGGCTACGATGTTGTTACTTTGATGATCATTAGTGACGTCATGAATACAAGACAGTGCTTTATTGAAGTTCAAGTTAAAACAATTGCGCGAACCGGGATCCGGACGCTTACATGACATGTCAAGTAAGTCTCGTTAGGGTGCTAAAACTGTTCCGCCATCAATTTAGATACTTCTTTAATGGAATAAAAATTAAATCATTCCCGACTTTTAATTAGGTCGAAAGTACTAAATACAATCATAGTATCAAAGTGACATTATTTTTTCCAAAACAATTTTTAATTTGTTGTCAACTTTGAATTCATTTATGTGCTCCACTTCCAAAATGTCAAACTTCAAGTAACACAACAACCAAAATTGTTTCTCACTTAAGTGTCGAATCTCTTTTTCTAACATGTTCCAAAGACATCTATACCACTAATTGTATAGTCTACGTTCAGATATCAAGATAGGAGACGTAATTCGAATTAAGAACTTTTACTTTGAAAAAGTATTTTGAAATGTGAATTATTTTCGTGTGATGCATGTCAAGTATGTTTAATACCACAGTGTATGATACCTGCTATTTGATCCATATTCTTCTAACCATACATGTTGTTTTAGAGTTATAAAGAAGGCTAATGGAACATTTCTTTCATCAACTTTCTATATAGGCCTATACTGTAAGGATCGAGGCTCGAGATCCACGCGCCGCAAGGAGCAAATCGAGTAGGCTGTATCTTGTTTCTATAAACATTATACTGATCCCCCGACTCAGAGGGGCTTTTAAAAGATATGCCTTTGAACTCGATGGGAATACAAGTAAATAGCCGATCAGATTTCGTTCAAATTAAATACATTACTGCTGTGTTAAACAAAATCCAGTGATTTTGAAGTATATTGGTAGTCATCGGGAAATGCAATGTTTTTCTTAGACCAAACTATCGAGTCAACTTACGAGGTTGTGCTTAGTGTGAGGTATGTAGAACCTGGGTGTAATAGAAACAACAAACTAGATTAGTGTTCATCTCGGTTATTGATACTTACAAACAGACAAAAAATCCACTGGGTTTGAAATGGCAACTTAATGAGCTCAGAGATGGTTGTGTGTGACCAGAGATTCAAGGCACGTACGCAGTGAGCCTTGATATGGGTAATATGTAGGGGTGGAGTGTTATCTTGGTTTTTATTTACTTCCTGCTTACATTTGAGTTGAAATTGACGAGTATGTACAAATTAGGGGCATTCCGAAACATCCTAGTGGTGGGCCTCACTTCTGTATTGGATGGCTTACTTTTGGTGGTACCCTTTTGGTAATGTCTACTAACGTGTATATAAAAGATGGGGCGTGCCCTTTTATTGCCCTTATTGTGGTTTCACCATGTGTGCTGTTTCTATGGGAACTACGATCATGATATGTTGACAGACGTTGGGATACTGTTGCTGGACTAAAATGTGACCACTGGACCGAGTTGGTTTCTGAATGATCCATTAATTCAAAACTTTCTAATGATGATAGGACGCACACTGGCACATCAGGAAGGATCGTCCAATTAGATTTGATAATTACGGAGTAAGGTGAACTCTCTTAAAAGCATAAGACCCCACTGTTGCCCAAGTTTGTGTGGTTTATACCGGGTTTTATGTAACCGGTGTTATGTATTTGGAACGGAACTGTTAGGGGTTAACATAATGTTTTTCCATTTACTTCCAGGAGGGAGCCGATATCATTTCTAAATGGTCTTTATAGGTGTGATAAAATTAACCTAACATGCGTGTGGATGATACCTGATAAGTATTTTTCACATAAATACCAAGCCAGAATCGTCTTGAAACGATAGGTTGTTTAATTTACCAAACAGAGCATTTGGATTGCGTTTAGCGGAATGGTGCCATATGGAATCTAAAGGGCGAACACTTAGATCAACATTGCCGACAACTGGAGATCGCAACCCAGACTTCTTTCATAAATACTCGGATCTATGTCGAGCTTAAACTAACACACGTTTGTATTAGTGCCGATACCCAATAGCTCAATTATACCCAGTACCCAGCTAACAATTTTACGTTGTGATAACGTCGTCAGAATATATGTCTCAAGTTGTAGCAACGTTAAATATGGAACGTTGTAGGTACAGGAAGGTGTGGACTCGCACAGATGTTTAAAGAACGTTACATTTGACTTAAATATCACGTGTCAGGAACGTAGTAGCGACCTTAACAATTACGTCGCCAAAATAAGGAAACTGTAACGTACTTACATTACGTCATATATACGTGGCCAATCTAAATTTCTGGTAACGTTGATATGGAACGTTGTAGGTACAGGAAGGTGTGGACTCGCACAGATGTTTAAAGAACGTTACATTTGACTTAAATATCACGTGTCAGGAACGTAGTAGCGACCTTAACAATTACGTCGCCAAAATAACGAAACTGTAACGTACTTACATTACGTCATATATACGTGGCCAATCTAAATTTCTGGTAACGTTGATATGGAACGTTGTAGGTACAGGAAGGTGTGGACTCGCATAGATGTTTAAAGAACGTTACATTTGACTTAAATATCACGTGTCAGGAACGTAGTAGCGACCTTAACAATTACGTCACCAAAATAACGAAAAAGTAACGTACTTACATTACGTCATAAATACGTGGCCAATCTAAATTTCTGGTAACGTTGAAATGGAACGTTGTAGGTACAGGAAGGTGTGGACTCGCACAGATGTTTAAAGAACGTTACATTTGACTTAAATATCACGTGTCAGGAACGTAGTAGCGACCTTAACAATAACGTTGCCAAAATAACGAAACTGTAACGTACTTACATTACGTCATATATACGTGGCCAATCTAAATTTCTGGTAACGTTGATATGGAACGTTGTAGGTACAGGAAGGTGTGGACTCGCATAGATGTTTAAAGAACGTTACATTTGACTTAAATATCACGTGTCAGGAACGTAGTAGCGACCTTAACAATAACGTCACCAAAATAACGAAAATGTAACGTACTTACATTACGTCATAAATACGTGGCCAATCTAA